TAAATTATAAGCTTAATTTTCATTTATTGCTTATACTAAATATTTCCTTATTTTCGTATAAAATTATTATTCTTCCCAAATATAAGGATATAATTTCAAATAAATTGAAGGTTTTATAATCCTAATCCTTAAAATAGAATTTTATCGAAGAAAAATATGAAATCTTTAAATCATGTATTGGTAAAATTTTGTAAAAAAATATTTTGGAATTTCGAAATCGTAATGAACTTATGAAGACGATAAAAAGGAATTTTTTTTTCCTTTATAAGTTTACTTGACACCTATTACAAAAAGTTATATAATAAAAAGCTTTGTTAATGTGCAAAGGCTAAATTTCGCTTGAAAAACTGATATAATTCTCTATGTCTCCCTTTATATTCGCCGGGTCTCTCACTCTGTATTCACTGTCTCTAACTCTGTATTCACCGTCTCTCACTTTTTTTTCGCCGTCACTCTCTATTCGCCGCTTTTACTTTTATTGGTCGTCTTTCACTCTGTATTCACCGTCTATCACTCTCTATTCGCTGTGTCTTTCCCTTTATTAGTCATCTCTCACTTTTTTCGTCGTCTCTCACTCTTTAAATTAGTCGTCTTTCACTCTTTTTCGTCGTCTCTCACGCTTTATTCGCCCCGTCTCACTTCGTCTTTATTCTCTGTCACTTACTCTTTATTAGTCGTCTCTCACTCTTTACTTACCATCTTTTACTCTTTATTCGCCGTCTCTCACACTTTTTCCTCGTCTTTCACTCTCTATTTGCCACGTCTCACTCTCTAGTTGCCACGTCTCACTCTCTATTTGCCACGTCTCACTCTCTATTTGCCACGTCTCACTCTCTATTTGCCACGTCTCACTCTCAATTTGCCACGTCTCATACTTTTGACTTGTATGCTAATCTAATCTAATCTAACACTGTCTTCTCTCTCTCTCTATGTATTGCCTATAATTTGTTGTCGCTCACACATTAAAGTGATTGAAGACGTAATTTCAAGTGTTCCCCCCCCTTTTTAGAATGGCATGTCGGATTCTTAACGGTACAATTCTAATCTTTGTCTGTGCAAAAAATATTGATATTTTCTGAATGAGAATTGATCATTTTCTAGTTCAGTTATAATAAGGGTTGACTTGTGAATACTTGAAGAGGAAAGCAATTGAATGAATTATAGAAAAAGAAGATATCTTCTTCATAGATACAACAGAAAATGACTAAATGGTACCATTCTGAATCGGACAAGTATCGATTTAGATCGAAGGTTACTTAAAATTACGTATACAATCCGTTAAATTATTCTTTGACACAACTTTCACAGTCTCTGTCAATTTTTATTCAGTTCCCAAAGTCTTTTCCGTGCAACATTTTTTACTGAAATATTACAAACTGAATAGTTCATTGATTGCATTCTTCTCCGTATTAAATTCCCTTTGTTACAGTGATAACCAGAAATAGGAAGGCGAGTTTAAAACTCAAGTTAGGACTTTAACTAGTTCGATGAACATTAGACATATTGTACTGTGTAAATAGACATTTTTCACTTAAATTGTGCTTTGCTGAGTTAATAAAAAAATATTTTCTTTGTAACAACATAAAAACGATTAAGTGTTGCTGTACTGTCGTCTTTTTCTTCCATTGTTTTCTGGTTATCACTGTAGTTCAGAAAACATAATTTCAAACTTTTCTTGAATAATTTAGTTTTTTTTAAAGTTTATAGTTTTACTTCATTTATAAATTAGATCATACAGTGAATCCCAGATATATGAATACATAGACCGTTTTCTGATAATTCTAAAGAAACTTCATTTTATTTTTAATTCAAGGTAAATTAATAGCCCTGAAATATAAATACAATTGATATATTAATATTAATCTCATTTTCCCGCGGCATTCGATCTTAGATATGTAATACGACATTATAAAAACTCTTGCTATGTATTCATATATATCAGGGATTCACTGCAGTAACGTAATTTTTGTTGAACATTCTGAAAAAAAATGATTTTTAATAAAGTGTATCTACACATTTTAGATTAAAAGCCGATTTTATACTCATTTCTCTTTTGAAACGTAATGTCAACGTCACTGAAAATCTTTGATTCTTTTTGCAAAATTTTGGCACAAAAAACATGCATCTTTAAGAATCCATTTTTTTAATGAATTGGTTACCCGAAGATTAGATAATAAATCGAGTTTTTTTTAAATCTAATATTTCTGTTTTGTAAAATATCATCATTTATTGTAATAACATTAGAATTCTTCTTAGATCTTTGATAGCTATAGTAATGAAAAGATTTGTATTAAAAGTCTAAACGATTTAGAAGTATTTCAAATCAAATCAAATCATATATTTGTCTGCAGTAATGATAATAAGTTATATACGGTTATTAAAAAACATTATAGTACATTAAATATGTATATGTAAAATTACTGCAGCAAGAGAGCTTTGATAGCTTACAGCTGTTATCACAAAGCTCTTCTATTTTGATTTGATTTTAAATTTGACAATGGGGTTCCCCTCCTGAAAAACCCTATAACTTAGTACATTCTTTTTTTATATGCATTTTGTCATGAGATAGCAATCAAAAATAAAAGACGATTTTCAAGTGATCTGTCATGTTTAATGAATGTTTAACAAACTTATTGTAACTCTTGACTGGATTTACTTGTGGAGGTTGTGTGGATTCCTGCAGAGGATGTTTGCTACTGAATCTAGATTCTGGATTCTGGAGGTTAATTGTCAAGTTTGAGAACGGTTTCTACTCTTCGAGGTTCTCTCTGCTCTCTACCGGTATACTCCATGGGTACAATCAGAGCTCAACACTTTTGTATCGAGTTTCGATAATCTGGAACACTTGATCTCGATATCCAACCTTGGCACTTTAAAACTCAAAATTAAATACTTCTCAATTAAATTGCATGGTCTCCAATCTTTGATCCCAAGATATGACTTGACACAAAAGTTCGGAACACAAAATAATTGCTGACCCCCGTCAGACAAACCACGACACAGATATGGTTTTTTAAACTTTGGAACCAAGGGAATATACGTTATTTATCCCTTTAAAGGCTTGGAATCTGAATCTATCTATAGCCTGGCAGAGGGGGGGGGGGGTCCCACGCTGGGTTGAAAAAAGTGTCGGAAGAATGTAAAAAAATATTTTTTTTGTTAAACCATGGCTATCAAAGGCTAAAAAATTGATTTTTTTTAATTCAAAAAACTAAACTTTTTTATTCACAATTTGAAATTTATTTATCAAAATTCCAAATTTTTTCCACGGGCAACGCCGGGCACTTCAGCTGGTTGCTTATGTAACGATTTAACCAAGATGGAATGAATTTTACATTTTTTAAATTGTATAGCTACAGTTATAAAAGTCTTAGCGGTATGCCTATATGTATAAGAATGCACGAAGGCGTCAATCACTTCTATATTCAATTAAATATTAAAAGATAAAACTCTAAATTTAAGTAAACTATAAATTCTACAATTTTTTATTCGTGTGAATGTTTTAAAAACGACAAGTCATGCTGAATATTTGCAATTTTAAAGTTGGTTTAATGTTTTCAAACGACATTTAATGGGTCTTTATGCGCAATTGTATTGAAAAACGAAGTTAACTAACTTTATATATAAATGTAATTTGGAGTTTACATTGAACATGGAAAAAGCAAAATGTCCTTGTGCATAACCTGTACATGGTGTCCCAATAAACATGGGAATTCAGTGTCGAGTATAAGATTGTCTTTGTCAAGAAGAAGCAATGTGATACCTAATTTATCAAGAAGAAGCAATGTGATACCTGATTTATCAAGAAGAAGCAATGTGATACCTGATTTATCAAGAAGAAGCAATGTGATACCTGATTTATCAAGAAGAAGCAATGTGGTACCTGATTTATCAAGAAGAAGCAATGTGATTCCTGATTTATCAAGAAGAAGCAATGTGATACCTGATTTGTCAAGAAAAAGCAATGTGATTCCTGATTTGTCAAGAAGAAGCAATGTGATACCTGATTTATCAAGAAGAAGCAATGTGATACCTAATTTATCAAGAAGAAGCAATGTGATACCTGATTTGTCAAGAAGAAGCAATGTGATACCTGATTTAAAAAGTCACAGCATGTAATTAAGTCTGTGAGAGTTTATTTTATGAAAACAGTAAAAGACATGTAATGATGTCTACAAGATGAATTATGCAACAAAGACTGACACTTTTAATTTGTTTTCAAACAAGAACTTTCATATTTTCTCAGTAGGTATCACTTTATTTTTAAAAGGGTAACTCAATGATTTGATGAAAGAGAAAAAAGTTAACAGATGCATGGAACCATTAATCCATACTAAAAGATTGATTAAATTGGGTAAAGTCGTTTCTTAAGTCCCACTCTAAGTGAGTAACCCTGTACAGAAAACAAATTTATATTTTGGGAGGGACATTCTTGCATTGTGGTGGATAAAAAGCAAGGTTTGTGAAACCAGGAAGAGGTTTAGTTTGATTTATGGATCTATTGCATGATTCAAGCAATATTATTCCACAACTCTCAGAATTGCGAAGTAAAGGGAGTAAAAGTTATTTTCCCTCCTTACTAATAGAACTGGGTAAAGTTCTGATAACCTAAGAAAAAAACCTTGAATTTACAAGCAATCACAGAACAGGTAGATAAGATGCAGAATGACGAGTACCGGCTGTTAACAAGTTTATATTCGTGCTGCATCGTCAGGGAGTAAGGAATAAAAGGGAGATATAACTGACCCGGTTCGCCCTATCATATGAATATACATGCTTTGCAGACGGCACTTCATTCGAATAAGAAATATTTGTCTAATGTACAATCGTTGTGATACAATAAATACAATAAGCTATTCTGAATATTTCTTATACAAATGGAGTACCCGTCTGCAAAGCATGTATAATCATATGGTGGGGCGAACCGCGTCCGTTATATCTCCCTTCTATTCTTTACTCCCTGTGCAACGTTCATGTAAAATAGCTCAATGGGCCTAAAGAACGAATTACTGTTACTAAGTTCTAGATACGCTCCCTCCTCGGAACCTGAACACAACATTACACAATTAACAACAACACCCGTGATTGATTGATTAACTCGAAATATATAGCTGACTGTTTAGTAAATCTCTTTTAGGCTAAATATGCAGGGTTATCCGCTTCAGTGGTGAATTTATACTAACTGATATGTGAAACTAATGGAATTTAAACCCCAAAACCTATCAATATATGGAAGTAGGGCTAGGAAAAAAATCCATTGACAAGCAATGTTAAGTTTCAGTTAAAAATGAACGCTAACACGAAAGAATTGAAAAAAAATACATTGACTATCAATGTTAAGTTTTAGTTAAAAATGAACGTTATCGAAAGAATTGAAAAAAAAAAACATTCCCAGCTCTATCTATAAGTTTTATGTATTCCCCACGCAATAAACATATTGAAAAAAAACAATTATACATTTTTGGTGTAAAATCATGTTGTTTTAAAGAATTTGTAATTTTCTGTAAAACTTTAGAATAACAGATTGTACATGATTTGAATGTACAATTGTACAATTATTTAATCTGAATTAAAACAGCAGTTTATGAGACCCAATAAACCGTTGAATATGAAGACGACATTTGAGCAGTCTTCAGTGTTCATAGGACTTTCTAAATCATAACATCTGTCTAAACGTCATGTTCCTTTACCACAGTTTAATCGCAATTAATGTTTAATTCCCTAGAAAAACTACTAAACATAATAATCTAAAATATTAATTTTTTCTATATATATATTTACCAACTATGAAACTGACTACAAAAGTGTGTACAGCACAAAGTAAACACAAGTTGATTAAACATAATAAATTTCACTTTCCAAAGGTAGAAACTAATAAATGAGAGATAGCTGGTCAATAACACCACAGAAGATACAGTTTGGTGATTACTTGAAGGGATTAAGGACACAATAGTTCCGACCTCAGATTGTATTATTTCTTACTAGGACCTGAGCTGAAAACTTTTGAATTTGATAACACTAATACCGATCTCTAAATATGAATATCCAATGCAGACACTTCTGATCTCTATTTGTCCGCTCTTTCCCCTCTTTTTGGATAAACCTAATAAATTCCAACCAATGCGAGTACTCTCAGTAAATAGCGCGCTAAAATATAAAAATTTCCCATCTTCTGCATACACCACTCTGATTAGTTTAATTTTAGAAACTTTCTTGGACACAAACTCAAGATTAGAATAACCTTCAGATTTACAAAAAGAGGAGATCAAGCATTGAATTCGATATTCACAATTCTAAAGTTTTCAGCTTGGGATTATGATTAAAAACTTTAAGTATTTTAGTGATTGGCCGGTACAAAATTGCCATATATTTTAACCATTTATTCATTAATTTCCAACATGGAAGAAGTGAAATTATTTATGAAAAGTAGAAGAATTGAAACCAACATCACTTGATTTTGCTTCTTGAAAAAAGATGTACATCCTGAAAAAAAATATTAAAAAAACTAAATCCCTGAAAATATTATTATGCAACATAAAAAAAACAATAATTAGGTAAAATTCTTTAAGCATGTCACATCCAGGTCTGTGTAGCTTATTCTTTAAGCATGTAACATCCAGGTCTGTGTAGCATAACTTGGTGGTAGATTTATTCTTTAAGCATGTAACATCCAGGTCTGTGTAGCTTATTCTTTAAGTATGTCACATCCAGGTCTCTGTAGCATAAACTGGTGGTAGATTTATTCTTTAAAAATGTCACATCCAGGTCTGTGTAGCTTATTCTTTAAGCATGTCACATCCAGGTCTGTGTAGCATAACTTGGTGGTAGATTTATTCTTTAAGCATGTCATATCCAGGTCTGTGTAGCTTATTCTTTAAGCATGTCACAGCTAGGTCTGTGTAGCATAAATTGGTGGTAGATTTATTATTTAAGCATGTCACATCCAGGTCAGTGTAGCTTATTCTTTAAGTATGTCACATCCAGGTCTCTGTAGCATAAACTGGTGGTAGATTTATTCTTTAAGCATGTCACATCCATGTGTAGCTTATTCTTTAAGCATGTCACATCCATGTGTAGCTTATGCTTTAAGCATGTCACATCCAGGTCTGTGTAGCATAAACTGGTGGTAGATTTATTCTTTAAGCATGTCACATCCATGTGTAGCTTATTCTTTAAGCATGTCACATCTAGGTCTTTGTAGCATAAATCTTTAAGGTTATAATTTCCAAAAGTTTTTAATGTGTCATTCTCATCAGCTTCAGAAGAGGTTACGGAAAAAAATTGATCCGGATAAAAATTGGATAACCTAGTAAAAAGTTTACAGAACGAAAAATAAGCTTTACGCCTTGGTTCAAAACAACAAATATTAAAATAGACGAACCTCATGGTAAACGTTAAATACAAAAAGCTTTTCTTCTAGTCTGTTTTAACTTTGAGTTTTTGAGAAGATAAGAATTTTGTTGAAAACATTAATATTACGAATGTTAAGAAAAGGACTTTCCAGAGGAGTGAAACTTTCTTTCTATTCTTTTTACAATTTTAGGAAGATAAATTATTGCCGTGGAGAAGAAGTTGTGTAAAGAATTGAAAATAAAAACAATAAAATATGTTTTTTTACTTAAACTTACTTAAACTTTTAAGAATTGTTTAAGAAGTTAGAAAATCAAAATTATCATTTTTTTGTTTATGTTCATCTTCATTTTTTAAATTTCCCCACCATTCCCACTTTTGTTTATCTTCCCATACGTTTAGTTTTCAAATTTCAAATTCTGTATATTTATCATAATTAATAAATAAAACATCAAAAGTATTTAAATATTTCACATTTTAATCGTTTTTAAAAAAAGAATAACATACAATGAGAAGCATAAAACTGTAGAAAAAAGACGACATTATATTTTATGCATTTCATGTTTCTCGAAAGTAAATAATTTCACCACTTAAAAATCGACTTATTAAGTAAAATGGGTCCGTTTACGCTGTGTTTCTTCTTACTTTCACTATTTAAATTCATAACTTGAGACTAAAGTCGTCTTTATTTCCCACAGATTAATAGTCCCCACTGTACAGTTTACCTGTCAGGGGATATACCAAGAAGCTTCTGAATTACAGGATATAGATTTGCAGCGTGCTAAAAATCATATAAAATTATTATTATTATCAAAGAGACTGTAAACGTTATTTTAAGTCACTTCCCAAGTTTCTATAAATCGAATGTTCGATTCACACTGGTACTACCTTAAAAGCGTTGTCTAATAAATTATGAATAGGATATCCATGATTTAGTTTCTGTAAACAGATTATTTTCCTTTGTGATTTTTCTACAAATCCGACTGGCGCATTTCTTACTTAAGAATTAATAGAAAAATTAACAGATTAAACAGTTTTTAAGCTAATAAAAAGACTTATAACTTCAACCCTCTTGAACTAGAAGTTAACTTAAAATTACAACTACATCCCTTTCAGCATTCTCATCGATAATGTATGTATGAAGTACAGAATAAAAAAATTGTCATACTTTATTATATAATATACTAGCTGAAGGGCCCGGCGTTGCCCGTGGAATTAATTTTTTTTAAAATTTCGATTTAATAAAAACATTTCGATTTTGAAAAAAAATCCTTTTTTTTAAATACAAATTTTAGTTTTTTTAGCCCTCAAAAAATGTCAGTCCATTCGGTTTGGCCGGCTATAGGGAATATATATACGAATGTCTTGTTTTATTACATCAATATGCAATACCAAATTAAAAATATTGCGTCATTCGATTTGTCTTTCTATTGTTTCAATGCAAGGAATTTTGATTAAAATTAACGAAGAAAACATTCCCTTCGAATTTTCATATTAAATGCATGCAGAATATCAAAGTAATAAATAAAGGCTGCTCAAACTACAGTTTATGATATAGGATGCCCAGCGCTGATTTCGAGATCGTCTTTTAAACTGATGTTTGATTTAGATAGCGGTAGACACTGAGAAAGCTATAGAGATTCATAGATTATTTTACCGCCTTTTGACCAACATTACCGACGTCTATAATTCCCCCAACAGAGGGAGGTTAGGTTACTTAACGTCCCTTGGGACAGTATTGTAAAATAACCACCCGTTCTGCGAAGATTTCGGGATAAATTTCGCGCATTTTTATGTCAAAAGACGATACAAAACATCCCTCAATGCGCTCTGGATGTTCTGTCTACAAAATTGGTCTTGGGAACCCTTGGTAAAGTAAAATTCCCTTAACTTCCTGGTAAAGTAGTTGTAAATAATTATAAAACTTCTTATGAATAAAGAAGTCCAAATCCCAAGTTTATAAAAAATTCAAAAAAATCGATATTCAATACATTGTGTAACATTGTGTAACTTGAAAGGCTTGATTTAGTCCTTCTATTTAGAGTGAGAACCAGAAAATTGTAGATTAGGAAGACGACATTATAGTAATATGAAATTTATTTGGTGGTGTTAAAAAGCAAACAGTAAGTCATCAAATCAATTATTATGTAAAATGGGTCTGTTTAGAGTTTTACACTGAACAATTGCTGTGTATTATGTTCATTGGACTCTATTAAGACTTCCTTTTTCAGAGTTTTCAGGTTCTCACTGTAGAAAATATTTTCAGGTTCTCACTGTAGAATAAAAAGCAACGAATACAGCTAAACATATTTCACCTGCTTGTTCTCCTCCACGCCCATTTTCCCAATACACATGAAGTAGGCGTTCCCACAGGGGGCAGCACTTCCACCAAACATAATATACTACGATAAGTATTTGTATCTATATAAATATTTATTAAACTAGGCTTTAAGTAATTCAAATTGGCGCAATTTCAAAAAAAAAATTCCAACTATTTTTCCGGATTTTTTCTCTTCCAATTTTGATATCCCATAAACCTTCTCTGGGCCAGATTGGTTTAACCGCTTTGACGTTTATTCGATACAAAAAAAAAACAAAAAAACAGACAAGTATATATAGATTGTATTGTATTTGTATTGTACTTAAATAAAATATGCATTAAAAGTTTCAACATCACTTTAAAACAATGCAGGTTATTACTATGCAATTTGTTTTATGGCTTGATGGCCAATCTTCTGTAGTTACTTTTAATTTATAAGTTATATACATATTACATAAGAATTGTAAAATTCTTTATATAATAAAAAAAATGTGAAGTTGAATACAGAAATTTGGAAATATATTTTATATAAACAGGGATAACCAGAAAACAATGAATAGGAAGACGACATTAAAGAAATACTTATGAGTATTTGATGCTGTTTCAAGGCAAACAGTTTTTCATAGACACTCATTAATCCCTCATTTAGTCAAATGGGTCTGTTTACACTACACACTTACTGTGTCTGCTACTAATTGGACTTTTTAAAGGTAAAACTTAATTCTAAAAGTCGTCGTCCAATTTTAGAGTTTCGAGTTATCATTTTATATATGCTACCCGGCCTGGACCTGGTCTGTTACGACGTGAACAACAACATAAGGTTCAGGTTTCCCAGTTGTTGCAGCAACAGCAGTAGTTAACTCCTTCAGCAGTCCATCCATATCCTACAAGATTAATAACATATCAAATGGTAGTGATAAGACTTATAAGATTTTTGGACCTAAAAAGTTACCACAAAAAAACTGTATTCAAAACATTTGCTTTTCTTGTACTACAGTTAAACTATCAGCGGCATAACCAAGTGAAAAGTGAGAAAGACGACATTTTAAAAATTCTTCTGATGTATCCATATTAATGAGTTTTAATCTTTTTAAATCCTAAAAATAACGAACGAAACAAGCTATGAATTTCAAAACTCTTTATTCTAGCCATTTGTTTTCTTATACTATATCAAATATCAATCCTGAGAGAATATAGTTGCAAGAACGGACTAAAAAGCGAACCAAATAAACGATGTTTTAATCTTTTAACAGTATAAAAACTTGTACGAAAGGGAGTACTTCACTATTAAGGTAAGGACCTATAGATGGTGTTTACTGTAATTTTTAAATTTGAATATGTTTTGGCCTTGTTATGGGATTGTTAGAAAACGAAGTGAAATTAGCAGTTTAAAAAAGACCGAAATTTATCCATTTTCTGTTTTTAAAAAGCATCAAGTAAATCTGTCATTTCACTATAAGATGTAGATTTAGGCAGTAATAAATGTAGAGAGGTGAGTGTGGAAACTTCTAATTATAATCTAGACATATAAAGTGTTTGTATGTCTGATCATAACTCATGAACCCCATGACCAATTTGCATCGAATTTTGATTGAGGAATTCGGTTGAACCACGGGACTGTTCTAACCTGGATTAAAAGTTTTAAAAGTTGTGTTGATTGATTTTTATATAGAAAGAGAATGCGGGGTTCCCGAGCTAGTTTTTTTATTATAAAATGATAAATAGTTCAAATTCTGCTATATATGGCTATGTACTCTGGTTGAGATCCAATGTAGATAAATGTCGTCTTTATTGCATTGCAAATGAAACTCTAAATCCTCATATGACGTCACTGATACTTAACTAACAATCATCACATTTAACAAATATAGCTTGAGCTATCATATTTGAAGCTTAACAATGCAATGCTAATTAAAGTTTTCAATTTTTCAGTTCGTTTATAATTATTGAGCCACAAAAGTTACTATTCTTTAAAATAAGCAATGACGTCATATGAGGATTCAGAGTCCCCATTGCTATAAAGGTCGTCCTGACCTAAATTGGAGCGCATCCACCCAGAGCATCTTAACTTATTATCCAACCTTGCTCAAAATATAAGAATAAATTCTAATTGAAAGAGAGCGTTGAAAATATTTTCATTTTATCTTAAAGTTTGAACAAAGTTTTGATCTGAACTGGGAGCTGGTTCCTGACTAGTCAATACTATCTTCAAACTTATTTAAACTTTAATCTTAAAAGAAGTTCAAACTTTCTAACAGACGGACACACAGCCAGACGAACATGCAGACAGACACCAAGAAAGTCGGAAACCAAGATAGTTTGACACCCAGGCAAACAGGGTTGGCATGAAAAAACCCAGCACAAACAACCCACCAAAAAAAACCACCTAAAATAACCCACCTGTAAGTGTGCTTTTTTGGGTTTTACTGGTTTTTTTTTTAGAATTTTCTAATTATTGCCCTTTTTTCAATCCTATAATGATAAACTAATGTTCATTGTGGAGTATAGTCGACTAATGTTGATATAGATAATATTTTTAAATTGACATAGTTTATTTGGACCCATTTGTTCCAAGGATATATGTTCATCTGGACCTAATTTTTACTCGGACTGATATTTGTTTGGGAGAATGTTCAATTAGACTAATATTACTTCGACTAATTTTATATAGAACTGATTATCATGCAGGCTAGTTCATAAGATCTTTTTCAAATAATTAGTTTGATTTGGCTAATTTGTTCATTTGGGCTAACTTTTATCCTCGACCTATATTTGTTTTTGGGCGAATATTCATTTGGACTAATTTTACTTCAACTAATTTTGATTATGACTAATTTTCATGCAGGCTAAAGCTTATCAAAACTTTTTTTGACTGAAGTTCAGTTGGGATAATTTTCATTTAACCTAATTGTTCATTTGCACGAACTGTTAATTTTGAAATAATGTTTATCATAGGACTATTTTTAATAAACTTTTTGAATACAAATTTATTTACAGAATATTTAACTAATTATGTATGAAGTTGAAGGTTTTTTAAAATTAGGAATTCCCATCTTTCATACAGTGAAACCCTTAATAACGAATACATCGAAAGAATTCATCAAATGTCGTATTCTTCACTTTCTGATAATGGAATGTTGCAGATATTTAGTTTTTTAATTAAATGATTATATGGAACTCTTTAAAACTGTTCCCGCATATTCATGGCTATTTCTTTGTTTTCGCAAATACTGAAATTTACGTAATATAGTATAAAACTCATTGAAAAATTGTCAAGACGACATTTAATAAATTCTTCCGATGTATTCGTTATTAAGGGTTTCACTGTATATTTGCTCATTTTACAATGATTCCTACTGCAGCATATTTTAGGTTGATTGAACGAGTAATAAACTATTTGAATGAAGCCAAATATATTTAAGCCTAAACTTAAATTAAGCCAAATGAACTTATACTAATAAATTTATTGAGAAAATGTTCAGTCAAACTGAAAAGTTTTTATTCCGACAATTTGATGTATAATTCGATTTGTAGTCCAGATGAGAACAAGAAAAAAATCATTTATCATTTATTTAAGTTTTGGCATAACATTTTATTATAAAATTTATACTGGATAGCGGAGGGTCGGTGCTGCATAGCAAATCTGGGAGGCTCATAGCGGCCCATGCACTCCCACGACGGGAAAAATAGGAATTTTGTATTATGCTCGAAAATTCAATCTTCTTTTATAGGTTCATCAAACATATTCTTAGTCTTGCACATTTCTCAGTGTTAATCATCATAAAGCTAGAAATGAAGAATCTTGTTAAGATCTTTATTACAAGTAAAAAGAAATAGAATAAAAAACTTTTAAATCTAGTAAAATTACATTTTGAATAAATTATCAAAGTTAATTCTTCAAATACAAGCGCACAGGACGAATTAAATAAACTTTGACTTTTAGTTTTCTCAATGAGGAAAATTTAAAACCTGAGAGAAAATGGAATAGCGACTAAACTCGTATGGAATAGCGACTTAACTCGTTTGGAATAGCGACTTAACTCGTATGGAATAGCGACAAAACTCGGAATCTTTTGCAACAACTTAAAGTCTAACCAATCAGATCTAGCTGTGGACTGAAAAAAGGCGGCCAACCGCTGCTATCACAGATTTGAATACAAAAGTTTCTTAAGAATAGAAATTTGTCTATTTAAGATTGAACGTTAACAAAGATGATCTTTGATGGAGAATTTGGAAAGCTCTTCTATACAATGGTTTAACGAAATAAGTATAAATTATTACTTTGGTAAAATGAATACTTAAAAAGAAGTATTTAAAAAATCAGCTATTTTGCAGTAATTAGTTACCTGTATTTCAGAAGATTTGATATTTGTCTCAATCCTTAAGTGTGGCATTTTCAATAATTCTGTAAAATTTATCCGTTACAATCAAATATGATTTGTATCTCTTAGCATTTGAACCTTAATGGGAAGTGGATTTAAAAACATTTTACAATATTTAATTCTCCAGCCAAATGTTCTTCTCAAAACAGCATGTGACAAAATAAACTTTGTAACCTATTCATATTTCTCCCTGTTTGGAAACATTATCTTCATTTTCTTGTTCAGAAACTTTTCAAATTTAATGGAACCAAAAGTGTAATTTCAAGTGACAGGCGTCCATTTGTCATGTGTTCGATTCACAACAGTATTCTTTCCATACAACATAATCACCTGAAATTGTTTATCACTTTGCTTGCATATTAATTGATGTCTAAAAAGTTACAAAACATAATTACTTACATTTGAAGTTTTTTTAAAAATAAAAAACATCGGAAGAAATTGTTTAATATCATCTTGACAATTTTTAATTGTTTTTTTTTTACTGAATCTCAGTAATTGTAAAAATAAATAAATAGCCATGAAATATGCGTGAATTTATATTTATTTAATCAAAAAAAACTAAATATTTGCAGCATTCCATTATCAGTAGGTGAACGAAAAGACATTTGATTTATTTTTCCGATGTCTCAAAAGTTCTGGGTTAAACTGTATTAGGGGTTTTCGAGGAAAAAGTTCTGGGTTAAACTGTATTAGGGGTTTTCGAGGAATATATGTCTTGTCAGCTGTGTTGAGTTCAACTGTATTAGGGGTTTTCGAGGAATATATGTCTTGTCAGCTGTGTTGAGTTCAACTGTATTAGGGGTTTTCGAGGAATATATGTCTTGTCAGCTGTGTTGAGTTCAACTGTCCACTTGCATAGACTCACACGGAGTCCTCTGACTTTGATAACCAATTCAAGGTGCATCGCAAATTGGACATTACCTCTTTTGTAATGTGGTGTAACTCCAATGGGTAACCCTAAAATACCGCAGAACTCGGAAAGAGTATAAATCCAGGAGAAAAACAAGGTTCCTTCCTGAGGGGAGTCCCTCGATACCCTCCCTTCCTACCTACTTTAAATTTCTAACTCCTGTTTGTCACAATCAACATTTGGAATTGATTTCCTAGTGGGCGAATGTTGTTGGATCCATAACCGCAAGGCGGAACTAGGATTTGGATACAAAACTCAAAGTACAGAATGAGACTCAAAGAAACAATTGCAAAAACTTTTTTTATTCCACCCTGCCCCTCTAGCCTCCTCCTGACCATAAAACAGCTTAATCTACTGTGTGCAAGGTCAGACATTCCCGGTTGTGCAACAAGAAAACTAAAGATTCAGCAATACTACAAAACAGAATGCACTCAAATAATTACAATGAGCAGAGTGTCCCAAAAAATACTGGTTTTGACAAATTTTAATTTTTTTCCTTCAAAATTATCAGAATCAGGTATGGTCAACAGAAGGAAAGAAAAAAGGAAGAAGTTAGAAACGATGACTAGAAGATGAAGCAAATCATAATTTTTCTGTATCCAAAAATTAAAATAATAATTTCTTAAAAAAAACTTTATAAAAAAATTCTGGAACTATGAATGTTTAATTCTGGAACTTTGAATAATTTGTTCAGGAACTGTGACTTTTTTGATCTGGAACCATGAATATGTTGATCTGGAAACATGAATAATTTGATCTGAGATGGAATTTAAAGAATTTGAGCCACCGTTTAAATCTGCCAAAAACCGGCTTAAATCTTGAAACATTTGATACAATTTAAACCGCCGCTCAAATTCTTTAAATTGGGCCACTGGATTTATGAGTATTTTAATCTGGAACTATTAATATTTTGGTCAGGAACTGTGAATTTTTTTTATCTGGAACTATTAATATGTTGATCTGGAAACATGAATAATTTTATCTGGATTTATGAATAATTTGATCTGGATTTATGAATATTTTGGTCTGGAACTATGAATATTTTGGTCTGGAACTATGCATATTTTGATCTGGAACTGTACATATTTTGATCTGGAACTATGCATAATTTGATCTGGAACTATGCATATTTTGATCTGGAACTATGCTTATTTTGATCTGGAACTATGAATATTTTGATCTGGAACTATGAATATTTTGATCTGGAACTATGAATATTTTGATCTGGAACTATGAATATTTTGATATGGAACTATGCATATTTTGATCTGGAACTATGAATATTTTGATATGGAACTATGAATATTTTGATCTGGAACTATGAATATTTTGATCTGGAACTATGAATATTTTGAAGGAGGAATGAGAACATATTTTTCAGATTCTCCCCCTCTCCGTAGTAATTCTTCTACTAAACTAAAACAAAATATTGTTTGAATTGAAATAAAAATATTTTTCATATTTTCTCGATCTGATTTGCAGATTTTATATTAAATATTTTCAGCCGAATGTATGAAAAGAAATTGTTTTCAAATCTGTAATAGTACAACTTATTACATTATTGAGGGATTATCGTCATAGGGTGGGTATAGAAAGGATGAAAACATTAGCCGAGAATACGTTTATTCGACCAAAACTTTTTGCAAAAACATATCTTTAAATATAATAATTTATACTATTCAGTTAAAAATTATTTTCAGATTTTTAAAAAAGAAATGATTGTAAATCTTAAATATTCAGTTTTCACCTCTTAGCATCAAATTTTCTTGATAAAGTCAGATGACGGTCGTCTCCTTTACCATAGCTTTTACTCTTCAACCCGAACCTTAAAGAACATCAAACTATTCTTGATATTATTCAACTATCTATCTATTTATCAATTTCGAGTGTTATCTATAAAATAAAATATTTGTAAAATGTATATATATTTTAATATAAATGGTAAAACAAAAAACTTAAATCATATGTTAAAGCGTCTTTTCTTACATATGAATATATATATATGTTAGCTAAAGCTGGCGAAAAAACGATTTTTTGAGTAACCCGGAGATAACATTTTTTGAAATTCAAATTTGCCTTCCTCAAAATTCAAATTTTTTCTTCTTCAAAATTCTTTTTTTTCAAAATGGTTTTTTTCTTCTAAATCTTCACTTTTATAAAATTCAATTTTTCAAAAATTCCACAGGCAACGCCGAGCATTTCAGCAAGTGACATTTAATTCTAGAAATTAAACTTAAGAACTTACTATATCAATTCTGGAAATGTGTTAAAATCTTCTAAGAATGTTGCAAAATCTTACAATGCGTAGAAAGAACATAATATGATATCCAAATAATAATTTTGATTAATACACTTTCTTCCTATGCATGCTATTAAAGTATTATTTGTAAACTAGCTGAAGTGCCCGGCGTTGCCCGTGGAATTATTAAAAAATCTAATTTAGATTTTTTAGATTCTTAAAGAAAAAATCTAATTTTTTGGACTATGTTGCTCCCCCCACCAAACGCTACTATATCTTCGGTCAGTGTACTGCAAATTACTGCAAAAAGCACCGAAAGCTTAGTTTAGGGTGCATGGGTTCCCTAAAAAATTGTCAGCCAATTCGGTTCAGTCGTTTGGCCAGCTATAGCTAACATATATACATTATACATACATATTTCCATACACAGTACACAAAGACAAATATATAAAACATACGAAGAGGTTTATCACATAAAAAAAAATGAATCCGTTTTCTACGGATTGTCTCCAGAGACGCAACTAGTGGGGGGGCGGCCGGGCGCGCGCTCTCCCCTAGCACCTGAGAGGGGGGGGGCGCCCCCCCTGCAGAATGAAAAGAAAGAAAGAATGGCGAAAATCAGTATCACAGGAATAAGAAAAAAATAGAGTTATTGTAGAAATTTTATTATACTATAGTTAGTTTTAAAAAGAATATTTTTATCTTTCTCAATTCTCAAGGCTAAAGGCTATTGTAAACATTTAATGTAAAAAAAGTTCTGAACTGTATTTTATTTGTGTTGAGTTTATAGAGTACTCGTAGATATCAAACTTTGAATTCTTATGGTAAAATATTCCAAGTTTGAAATATCAAATGTTTACACCACTCGGTGCAAAGATTTAGGGATTAGAATATTTGAGTTTGTGGCAAAAACTCAGTTCCAAATCTAGAGAAAATTCTGAACCTGGCAAATTTCTAACTGATTATCATATTTGATAACTAACAAGATTTATCTTCTTTGACAGAAGTTCTGTAAAATCGAAAATGAATTTAGATTATGAATGTTGGTTAGATCAATCATTAATTCAATAACTTCCAAGAGAAAAGGTAACATTATCTGTCCTTTTTCAATGTAGATGATTGAAATTATTATTTACCTATTTATTTTTATGTTTTTTTTTCCAGAAACTATAAATGATTATTTCTTGCAATTTAATCTGTAATCAAATCAGGTACTTAAAAAATACTCTTTTGCGATTCGCACACATATTCAATGAATTGACTCATATCATTCATTTAACAGCTGTTGGAAGTATAAATTTTGTAAAAACACAAGAACAAAAAATCGATTTGAATTGAACACAGCCAAATCTGCATGCAACAACTTAAAATTTCCTTTTTTTCGACTTCAAACCCTTAAAAAAGCACTTTTCTTTTTTAAAAATTTTCGAAAAGGGGGAAACCCCCCCTAAACCTCCCCCAAACCCTAACAATATACTATATTGCCCCCCCTAGCAAAAGTCCTAGTAGCGCCTCTGATTGTCTCAGATCCTCGTTTTCATTAATGCCAAAAAAGGAGTTTTATTGACTTTCGTAAATGATATATATTATTTTTGAACTATGTTTAATTATCTTACACAACCACAGGGTTACCCACAAAGGATGAAACTGTAAAGACGACCCAAAACTCTAAAAATATGACAATTTTAAGCTTGCTTTTTGGTTTCTGCTCTCAATTAAGTTTTGGATGATTAACTAAAAGATTAAGCAGAAAAATAAGCCCGTTTTGGCCTACGGAACCCTGAATGCAAGGAAATGGACTAAATAAATTCCCTAGAATCGTAACCCTTTATTTTGTATTCAAATTCAAAACAATAATATAAAGTAAGACTAGATTAAGATGGGGAATATATTCCCAATGAATCGTTTCAATCCTTCTTCAACAAATACTTTGATTAAGAAACTTCTTGGTTTTTATATCGCTGGATATTTCTAAGCTATTTAAAAGTTTTGGGAGAAATAATGAGAAATGTATTTTTCCCCCCCCCCCCCGCCCCTCTTTCCCTCTTTAGGAACATCTTTAAGCTGTGAGCTAGCCTTAGCTGTGATTTTAGATTCGAAAATCAAAAAAAATGTGTTTATTAATTCCAGAAATAATCCCTTTAATATTATCAATTATCTAAAAAGATGAAGACTTCTACCTTCTCGCCATATCATGCATAGATTTCCTTTGTTCGTTATCAAATCCTAGAAAACAAATAATCACGGGATTCTGAGACAGAATTTAGATAATTTGAGCTGCGTCGGTGAACTACCTTCTGCCTGTTCAAATTTAAACCAACGATTCAAAGGTAAAGATTAAGGAAGTATTTGAATCGTTGGTTCAAATTTGAACCGGCCGGTAGGCAGTTCAGACAGGTCTAGGCCTGGCTCATATTCTTTAAATTCGGGCTCTGAATAATATAATATTCTTAAAGGGAATGTTTATGTATTTCAAGAGATATCTTTCATTTTTAGTGTGGTAAGTCCGGTTTACAAAGGTCCTCTTTAAACCTTTGTAAGAGATGAACTTTAAAAAATGTCGATTTGCAATTTCAGGTTCTCTGTAAAGTGACATGCAGTTTATAGGGTAGCGTTGCAAATATTTAGGACATGCAACTTTGCAAATCAAAGTGACCCGCCATGCAAAGATGGCAATGTCAGATTCCCAACAGTGTCCTTAAAACTTTGTTTAAGTATAAATTAGAAATCAATAATTATAATTTAGGAAACTGATTATTTTAATTTTGGTTTCTCTACAAAAGAGACTTGCGCATTTCTACTACAGAAGATAAATAAATTATCAGATTTGAAAACTTGTCAAGCCTTGGGCAATGCCATCTTTGCATAGAGGTATACTTTATAAATACGCTCACATACCTACAGTCCCTTTAAAGGTGAAAACATGTTTAATAACTAACACAGAATTTTTTTAAAATCACGTATCAACATCTTATCAATTGTTAAAACCATAGATAAAGATAGATTGCGCATAAAACGACATTTTTCATCTTGAACGATATAAATGAACAGCGATGTTTTAAAAGATATTCCTATTGTATAGATTAACTAGGTCGGTTGTGAACATTGGCTGTTCTTATGTCATTGAGTACTTGTGGTGTACATGAGTTCTGTAGAGAGAAATTTAAGTTAGTTTAGTCCTTCTCATGTCCTTCTTCAGTTCTCGCCAATATGATATATTGCTTAGTGAAATATTGTTGTTCAAATAGTTTCATTCCCCGAGTTATTTTACACTCTATTATGAAATCCATTAAAACACCAAACCACCCCGCTTATCGTTGAAGTAGACTTTGACCCCTAGAAGTATGAGTTCGCGGACTGTACAATTCTTGGAGATTTTGTGTACATAAGCTATTTATGTTTATTTATTTATCTATGGTTAAAACACTTAAATTTTAGTTGTAATACGTCAAGGTTTTATTAAATGTTAAAATTATTTTTCACCGATGTTTTATTTTATTTGATCTTAAATCATACCTGTTGTGAAAACTAGATCGTAGGGACTCCCACTGCTAATATATTCCTATCATAAAGAAAATATAAAAAATGACATTTTCATGTTTAAAAAGAAATATAAAAGTCACGTTGAAGACTATGATGTTTCTTCTTTGTTCTCGTAAAAGAGGGGGGAACCTACTGTTTTGAACCCCCCTTTTCAAATGGGTATAATCCTCTCTTAAAAAATTCAAATATTTGCATTTTTGTAATCTATAATCTATAACCAATAACCATCATTTGTGTGTTAACAACAAAAAAGTTAAAACTACCATGGCTTTAGCAACAAAATTATTAATTTTCTGTTTACCATAAAAACATCAAAGAAATTGAGTCTTTGGCACAAACTCAAATTTTCTAATCTTAATATCTTTGCAACCTAATGATGTAAACCTTTGATATTTAAAACTTAGATTATTTGATCATACTTAATGCTTAGTTTCAAATATCTAAGGTCTACAACATTGGGTTTAGGGTTTCCAGTCGTAATTACGTTACGCGTTATTATGCGTAATTACGTTTACGAAAGAAAGTCTAGTTAAGGCGTAATTACGCGAATTTACGTAATACGAAACAATTCCGTAATAAATAAAATACATATTAATTCTCAGAAATAATTATAGGCTGACAGTATGTACTCAAACCGCCCCCCCCCCTTTCTCCTATTCTTTCCTGCTGACCTACCCCCCTCGTCTTCTATTCATTCATGCTCATCCAACCACCCCCTCTCTCTTCTCATTTCCTCTCGCGCTTCCCCCCCTATGTCAAACATATTTTGACGATTTTATTTCGACATTTTTTCAAACAAGGAAGGTAAACTTGAGAAAGTAGGTTGAAATATTAACAAGTTGTTGAAAATTAAAAATTTTATAGATTATGTATTTTTTGATAAAAAATAAATTGTTCGCCCTTTGTTAAACTTTTTAAAATTACATCAACATAGTATTGGCTGAAATTCTGATTCAACTTGCGTGACATTATTTTCCTTGTAAGTTAGTTCTTTTATTTAAATTAAAAGATAAAACTTCAAAATTTCATAGATGTAATTATTGCAAAATTTCGCAAAATTACCTTGTAGAAATTACGCGAAATTAGGCCGTTATTACGCGAAATTAGGCCGTTATTACGCGTAATTATAGTTTCGCTTATTACGCGTAGTCATTACGAAATTTCGCGAAATTATGTTGTAGAAATTACGCGAAATTACGCCGTAATTACGCGTAATTATAGTTTCGCTTATTACACGTAATCATTACGAAATTTGAAAATATTATAATTTCTTCTATGCAACCCCATCACCTCGTTCACTACATTTTACTGGGTGATCCTGATACCAAAACACCCATCTTTGCAACCAACTAAGGAAATTGTTGGCTACGGGACTGCCCCAAAAGGAGACCGGCACCGTATTATCTAAGACCTCCCAAAAACTGTTTTCTTATAATCAGATCTGTTGCCAGATCACTGAGTTCTAACCTTTAATTAGGAAGATTCAATTAAAATAGTGGACATTCAAAAGAAATGAACTATGATGGCTCTCCTGTGACATTTTAGGAGCCTTGCGTTTAAATTGGGGTCCTAATACACAGATTGGGGTTCTACTACACAAATTGGGGTTCTACTACACAAATTGGGGTTCTACTACACAAATTGGGGCTCTACTACACAAATTGGGGTTCTACTACACAAATAGGGGTCCCTGGAGAATTCCTTATTGATAATCAATCTAATCAAAAATACCTGAATAATTTTTTGTATTTTCTGCTTAAAATGTTTTCCAACTCCAGTAGCTCCTGATACAACGGATATTTAGTTTTTTAAAACCTTTTTGAATTTTTACAAGCGTTAAGTTCTAAAATCAGAAAATATGAAAAGCAAAAACATTTTAAGTATTTAAATATCCTTACCTAATCCCTCTCTCCCAAAAATAGATTTTGCAGTTATAGGTTCACTAATCCCACCTCCATCTCTTCCCAGTCCTCCACCTTCATAATATACATATATAGTTTATATACAGGGTCTTTCAATATACATATAGTTTATATTGGTCCAATCCTTTTCGTTATTTTCATTAATCCAGTGGACAGAATAATTGAGCAGTTGACTACGATACTGTCCAAATTTGCTGATGACACGAAAGCTGGAAGGGTGGTTAATTGTGAAAATGATAGAGATCTACTGCAGAATGCGATAGATATTCTATTGAAATGGTCTGAGGATTGGTTAATGGTTTTTAATGCCAGTAAGTGCAAAGTGATTCATTTTGGGAAAAATAATCCCAAGTATTCATATACCATGGGAGGTTTTGCTCCAGGAGGAACTGTTCTTGAGTCTTCAAAGGAGGAGAAGGATATAGGAGTTATTATCTCAGATTCTCTTAAACCTTCTTCTCAATGTGCAGTTGCAGCTAGAAAGGCTAACCAGGTTCTGGGACAAATGTCAAGATCATTCCATTACAGGGACAGGTTCACTTGGATCAAATTGTACAAGGTGTATGTTCTTTATATACAGGGTCTTTCAATATACATATAGCTAACATATGACCAAACCATGAGTTTATGGATATTTGACTATTTCAGGAGACTAAGGAGTTTATGCTGACTAGACTATGTACACTGCGTTTCAAGTTATTATGCAAGTACGTCTTTTTAAAATTCCGACTCAGAAATTAATTTTTTCAATCTTCATTTTACAAAAAAGTTTTTCTTTAGGTTTTTGAATGTTTGTGCAAATTTGTGTTTACTTGAGTTGTAAACAGTAAACACAAAGTGTGACATTGTACTTTTACAGTGTATCAAATTATCATGCAAGTGGAAACTTGGTTCTTTAAATCACAGAAATAAGAGAAATAAAGGTGATATCTGGAGTGAAGGGTAAAGAACAAAAACTATAGAGGAACTTGCTGCCTGTACAGTGTACATATACATTGAACATTTTGAAGATTTAAAACCGAGATCACTGTACAGTTCATTCTTTTGTAAAGGTTGAAAAAATAGTGCAGAATGTTTCATGAAGATGACTTATCGAAGAAAGCAAAAAAAAATTTCAAAATTTGAAAATCAAGGTCAGCAGAACACCCCAGGCTACCAGTTAAACCCTGTTTAAGATCATTATTTTGAATATTCTGTAAAGAGCGGCGCGTTAAAGATTGCAAAAATCTGTGACAAAAGTGAAACAAATTAGAAATTTGCCACTCCTGAGTCCTGACCAAATGACACAAGTAAAAAAAAGTTTAACAGGCTTCATCATATGATAAGCTAGACTTCTCAAAAGACGTCTTTACAAACTTGTGCTGTGTGATTCTTAATAGCCCAGACGGTTGGGCTAAAGTTTGGGGTTTAAATGGCAATAACCCCCAGGAGCGTAAAATGAGACAAGAGGTGGAAGAGGGGTTCATTATCTAGGCAGGATCATCAGGGAAGAGATCTGTGGACCAATCAAGGTTGAGGATGGTGTCAAGGTTTAGTCCAAGGGTTATAATGAGTTCCTGGAGAACCATTTTATGCTTTGGTAAAGAAATCTGAATTCTGAGGTTCAAAAAAAGCTTGTATTCCAACAAGACAATGTCCCCTGGCATGCATCTAGGGAGAACATGGGTTGGCTTGCTAGTCAAGGATTCAATGACAAAAAAATTAGGGTCAAAAAGGCAAAATGACCCGATTTAAATCCCATAAGGAACTTTTGGGCCATTCTAAAGATGAAAGTTTCTGGTAGGCATAATAGCTTACAAAGAGAGGTGTGGGCTGTTGTATAGAAATCAGAAGCTAGTGATAGACCAGAGCAAATGAAAAATCTAACCAATTCCATGGACAAGAGGCTACTGGAGGTCATCAGGAGGTCAGGAGGCTACGAAGGAATGTGATTTCATATTGAGGATTGAGAAACCTTTTTGTACTTTTTTTCTAGGTTGAAATAAAGTTTTCATAACTAAAACTTTTTATATTTATCGTCTTTTTTTAAAAAAAATTAAGTTTTACATCAAATATAAGCATTTTGAAGTAATCTGCATAATAAAATTTTTTAAAAAAATAAAAGTCAAATTTTTGTAAAAAACTATTTTTCTAAATTTTTTTCCTTTCCCTTTAAACCTTAAAAAACCTATTTGCATAATAACTTGAAACGCAGTGTAGAGTTTATGGATATTTGACTAAACTATGAGAATATAAAGTGTATGGAAATCTGACCAAGCAATTTCTAGCTACCTGACCAACCCATAAGACTAAGAAGTTTATGGCCAACGTTCCCTGTTCCCAGCGCTTCCTTTTTTCCTCCAACTTTGGTATTATCCTAAATTAATTTTGTAAGAGTAAATGTCATAAATTTTTCCTAGCGTGGTATGAGAGAAATTAATTCTGCAAATTTTAAACCAACCCACTGCTCTTAAATTCAACAGGAGGTAAAAAAAATCTTAGGTCATGCTAATTGTTACATTATTCAATTAATTTGTGTAGAAGTTATTAATAATTTGGCTTGTCTGTCTGTCTATTTGTCTGTCTGTTTGTTTTTATCGAATAAACGTCAAAACGGCTGAACCGATCGGGTCCAAATTTTTTGTGGGACATCACGTGACCACAGGAAAGGTTTATGAATGATAAAAATTTTAAAAATGTGTTTTAAAGGTTTTCAATTTTGTAAAAAAATTTAAATACTTGAAAATTCACGAATTTCTTTTTGAAAATCCGCAAAAATTTTTTCTTCTCTGTTTTAAAATGTAAACAAAAAGAACATGTTCACAATTTAAATAGAAGATGCCTAGTAATTTTATACTTTAGCTTAAAGAGGCTAAATGTGTTCTATCTATTTATAGACTGGATTATCCCAGAAACAAGGAAAACAATGATATCTTTCACATGATTGGTCAGATAAAGGTCTGAAGAGTACCGTAGTGAATCGAATATACCCCTCTCTTATTAGGAGGGTTTCTTAAAACAACAGTTTCTTTAACTTTAACTTGATGATTAGCGCGACATAGTTGAACTGCTTAGACGTAGTTCAACCACTTCTCTTCAGCTTTAATTAGTGCAAAAGAGAAGTGGCGGAATTTCCGATTCTTCTTGCTCTTTATTAAACCTGGTTTATGGTGGACAGTATAGATATAAAGGATTCCGGGCGCTTCGTTACCAAACTACAACTTAAGAAAAGGACCAACCTCTACATCTATGAGATCAACCTGTGTTCCGTCTGACAAATATTTACTTTTTATCCTAAAGTAAAATTTAATTAATATAAAAAAAAATAATTATCATTTTAGGACAACCTGAAAAAACGGCCATTTTTGGTTCGATGGAGTAAAGTTTTTATTTTGTCTACGTCCACACTAGCTTTCCTTAACTTGACATTGTAATCAACGTGGAACAAATTTCTTTTGAAACTTGCAAACTAATATTAAAAACACCATTAATATCAACAAACAATTCAATGAACATGCATTGTCAAACGTTAAAAACACTTTTTAAACTGGTTTAAGCCGGAAAAGATAAAACATTATGAAGGGAAAAAACATACATTTTAAATGGAGGTAAAGTTTTTAATTTCAATTTCACAATTTAAATATTTAATTATTTAAAAATAAACGCAACAATTTAATAAAGTACTTACTCCACAGTGTAACAATTTTCTGATAGAATTTCCACTGCTCTCTTAGTGGCAGCGTCCCTTGCTTCAGACCTACATTAAACAAATCTTTAGAACTCAACTCAATACATTTTCTACGCATATTTTCATCAAAATTTTACTGGTTTTCCTTAAGAACAAAATGAAAAAACTGTTATTAAAAACGGAAATTCTGTTAACTAACTGAAAACTCCATTATTAAAAACAGAAAATTCTGTGAAGTAATTGAAAACCCTTATTAAAAACAGAAATTCTGTTAACTAACTGAAAACCCCATTATTAAAAACAGAAAATTCTGTGAAGTAATTGAAAACCCATATTAAAAACAGAAAATTCGGTTAAATAACTGAAAAAACCGTTATTAAAAACAGAAAATTCTTTGAAGTAATTGAAAACCCATATTAAAAACAGAAAATTCGGTTAAATAACTGAAAAAACCATTATTAAAAACAGAAAATTCTTTGAAGTAATTGAAAACCCTTAGTAACAAACAGAAAATTCTGTTAAGTAACTGAAAAAATCGTTATTAAAAACAGAATGTAATAACAAAGGCAGGGATCATTAAAAAAATTTGAACACCAAATCAAAATATGTATTTTCAGAATATAAAAACAAGAATCTTCCCTTAGATAGAAGTTGGGCCGGCTAAATTTCCATTAACAATCGAAAGGTTTTGAAAAACATTTGAAGTAACATAACATGTGAGTAAGGAAGACTGAGTTCCAATTCTATTATTTGTTTTCAACAAGAACATGTTACAAATGTCTCTGACATGTTCTGCATTATCAAAATAATTAGGGTTACTTTCAACCCGGTAAACATGACAGTAGAATCTGGAGTTTGGAATATTGCACAACCAGTAATAAAAATACAACATTCTTTAATATCTTGGACAAACAATTGGAAAAATATATTATAAAAAAATCTTTTAAGTTGACAGAGTGTTTGATTAATAACTTAAGGTTTGAATATCTATTCAAAGGGAAAATTAGCAGAAATTATTTTATTTATAAAACCTTTCACTTCATCTTAAACTTTATCTGTTGCGTCTATAAGGAGAAAATTGTTAAAGGCGTCTCATACCAAATAACCTAGCGCCCATACAAATTCAGAAAATTGGAACATACAACTTAGACCATGAAAAATCCATTTAATTTCAAACAAATCATTCAGATGGTACAACCTATAGTCATCGATTATCTTTCGCCACATTTGTATATAGTTTACATTTTATAATATTTAATTTTTTTAGAAAACGTTTTAACTGATTTTGAAAAATGTGAGTGGTCCGCGGCATTCTTAGATAGTTGCGCAAGCCGCAAGAGAAATAATCAAATTCAAAACAAATTAATTAAAAAATATTATAAAATATAAACTATATACAAATGTGGCGAAAGAAAATCGATGACTATAGGTTGTAATATCTGAAGGATTTGTTGAAATTAAATTCATTTTCTTACGGTCTAAGTCATATGTTGCAATTTTCTCAATTTGTATGGCTGCTAAGTTATTCGGTATGAGACGTCTTTAACAATTTTCTCCTTAGAGACGCAACAGATAGAAGTAAGATTAGTAGCGATGAAAAGCGCTTTTATATCGAATTAAGCCTATACCCCCTTCGAGCCTCTTAAGATGTAAAACTTTGATTTCTCTTGCTCAGATAAATGAATAAAGGGTACTGTTGTAAATCGATTATGCCACTCTTCAAATAGGGTCAAACCAAATTACATCTACAGTCTTTTTCAGCATTTACAAACAAATTTAAAGAGTTCGAGAGAAATTTTCCTTCCCCCATCAAAAAAATTTTACTCCTATTTTTTTCTTCAAAACTTAGAAAGGATTTTCCTCACCATCAACATTATTTCTTATATTATTTAGTCAAGAAAAATCAGGTTTAAACCATTTCTAACAATCAAATCTTACTAGATTTTACACCGAACAGTTGAAAAAAATAAAAGCCTTTTCCAGATATGAAAAAGAAAGAAATTAAAAGAAAAGAAAAGGTGAGTATCTGATTTATCATCTTGTCAAAAATTTATAACAAAGAAAGGAATTTCGAGTTTGTGAATCTATTCAATAATTTTTTAGATCTTATGTTCAAACCTGGAGTTAATAGTTGTTAATAAAACAAAAAAACATAAAAACATGCATGGCCTGAGGTTGAAATAAGTTTTATAGAATGATCCCTCCAAGGTCAGAGTTCACTTGCTGCTTAAAGGGACTGTATGCAAAATTTCACGTGACTCTTCATATCCTATTTACAATTGACCGATGAAACCATAAAATGAAAAAAAAAGTGGAAGATACCATAGTTTTTTTTGACTCAAAAAGGGGTGTTTTCTGGAGTTTCTCCTTTGCTGTAAGAAATATGCAATTGTTACTTTTGCAGAGAAATCACAAACAAAAATAAGCAGATTAAATGAACAACTCAGAATTCATACTTGATCAGACAAAGCTTTTAAGGGTACCATTGTAAATCGGACATTGCCATCTTAGCATTGAGTGTCACTTGAAATTACGATTCCAAGTTAGATTCCTCCCTTTAAGTTAGAGCTTTAACTTGATAAATATTTAGTTCAGATCTCAAAACCGAAGGGATGTTAGACTATTCTTACTTCGCGCTGTCGTATTTATTGGTAGCTCAATTTTAGCAGCTGTTCTTGGGTCTCTCAGTATCAATGTTAGTAAAAGACAAGTATTTTTATTTTTAAAAAGTTATGGAAACTCTGTAAAATGTCTAAATATTAAGGCATTCTTAGCAGAGCCTGGATACAACTCACAGTCTAGGACAATTGCTATGAGATATAATGGAACTGGACCAACATTAACCTTCAAGTTCTGTGATGAAGCCCCTTGGAATTTCAATAAGGTACATCTTAAAAATCAACTTCAAAATGTTTTAAACCATTTATCAGAATTAGTTCACTATAAATTCACTTGTTTGCAAACTTTCTAAGTTCATGCTATAAATAAGTTGCCTTGACATTTTTCTTTTGATTCACTAATATTAAAATTTAAGCCAAATATTTTGTAGGCAAAACAAAATGGAATATCACCAGAGCTCCTTTCGTACATGACATATGTTTTACAACCTTTTGAAGACTACTTAGCAAAATTGCCTGAAGAACTGAACAACTTACTGAAAGCTGAATACGATCAGCTCCTGGCTGAAGTTAATTATGATTTGCCTAAACTATTTGATTTGGTTACAAATGTTTGCGAGGATTATTTCGACCCAACATTATTAGGTGCATTAATAAAAAAACAATAAAATTAAACTCATTATTATTGCTTGCTTACGTTTTGAACTTCCTATTATTGAAAGGTACTGCTAATGGCATAAACTGCAGTGAGACCTTTACAGAGCCACACTATGGTATTGGAGGAAAATGTTTTCCTACCACTTCAAACTCATTTCCTGGAATCGGGAATGCATTTTTAGATCTTCGTCTGCCAAAATCCAGATATCAACCAATCAATGCCAGGTAAAGTTGAGCATATGAGAAATTCAAAAGATTTTTGTTCTTCTAAAAAGCTCTTCAATAAGAGAAAAGTTTTCAATCTTACGTGTAATTTACTTTAGTTTAACAGGATCACCGGTGTTTGTTTGTCATTCTCATCAAAATAATTTCCCCCAGTTTTATTAGGAACTTTTTTCAACACAAAATCAGGATTTCATTGTAACTGAATTGATTTTGTGACATTTTTGAAAAATCTCCCCCAAAAATCATCCTTCTCTTCTTTTCTTGCCTGATAACTCATAAAAATATAAACCCTGATGATTTTATTAGTTTTCTTAATTCTAGCATTGCTGGAGAAGGAGCAGTCATGTACCATGGAGCTTTTATTCATATTAATGATGCAAGCAACAACCTTTATGTATTGAACTATGAAGATCTAACTGAGTTATCTCTAAGCTTCTATAGCACAATAATGATTGAAAAAACATCTACTGACAGGTACAAGGTGTACATATAACTGTATGCTATATATATTATAAACCAGAATTGTTACATTACTTGAGAAAAGTTTGAAACATTTGATAAAATTAAGAATTGTTATAAAACTAAGGTCCTTAGCAAACTGTGCAATTGGAGCAAACTGTGTAACACAGATGATGTCACATTTATTCCTTTCAAAAATTTTAAATGTGAATATTCATATCCTGCCAATTCTAGAAAGTAAATGTTAATATTACTTAAATATAAAACAGCTTGGGAACAAAGTGTTCACTGTTCAAAAAGTAAAAGCATTTCTGTTGAAAAATGAGGAAAAGTCTGTTGTCATTGATAAGTCAAGGTACTGTTCTGTTGTGAATATGGGATTCTTTAAATGGAAGGTCACTTGAAATTACATGTACAGTCCTTTTCAAAGGAAGAATGTTAAAATTGTGATAATAACAGTAATTTATGTTGGTTAGGACAGACCAGCACAGAGTTATTGATACCAAGCAATGTGAACCTAGTTCCAATCAAAGATTTGAAGATTGTCTCAGGTCAAGTTTAATTTTCTTTTGGGCGTAAAAATTGTTCAAAAATATGCAAGATGTAAACTCAAAAATTATTAAGCTTTACAGATGAGTATCTTGTGATGTATTTTTTCAATAAAACCAATTTTAAGTTTTAAATTCTAATGCAACTTTAAATAAACTTCAGAGTGGATATTCAAAAATATATGGTTGACACATACAACTGCTCTTCTCTGCTTTATGGTGAACCTCTGCCAGGTTCAAGATACTGCAACACTGAAGACAGTTCCATGATGCCAGAAAGCTTTTGGCATTTAAAATCATCTGTGTAAGAATATCTTATTCTTTATCTCAATAACAGATGGTAACTCAGGTGTCTAAAGATTGCTCAATGAGGGAGGGTTGGTGGTGTCCCAAAAGACATTTAGGTGGTGGCTATTACAAATTGAGGTAGTTTGCACTCTCCCCATTGCTTAACTTTAATATTTTTCAACATTTTTGAATCCAGTTTTAAATATTTGTTATTTATGCTTTCAGCATTTTCACTAGAAGTGTGATTTTTAAAGCTTCAGTTGAATATTTTGAAAGTTATTTCTTTTTGCAAGCTCTTACAATCTTGCTCTATTAAACATTGGCAATATTGAGGAAAAAAGTTTCATAGTGTTACTTCTGGCTTTAACTTGCAACAAATATTTTCTTTGAAGATTATAGATACAAGTAAATTTAATGTTAAGTTAAGGTTTGGCTGGAATATGTTAAGATTTCTCCAGATTTGTAATTCTATAGTACACAAGAGGGGGGGTTGCGTGTGTGTGTGTGAAAGAATAAGGATAGAAACGTCACTACAGCCCATTCAATGTTAAATATCATGTTTTATGAAATCATTTATTGGGTTCACTCTTTAAAAACTTTCCTTCAAGTAAATTAAGCATACAAGGTAACCATTTCCATATTTTAGAACAATCAAATCAAAGTGTATGCTTGATTGTGTATCAAATCAGTATAAGTTAGAGATAAAAAAGAATGGAATTAACATTGATGATGATGCTGATCATGATGTTGCTATAGCGTATTTGGCATACAAGACACTAACAGAGATTCAAACTACCCTGGCTGGGAAGGTACCATTAATTTTTTATTAATTTTTAAACACCGTACAAATTAAAATGATTAAGAGTGAATAAAACAATTGGGGATTTCACGTGAGGGCGCTTAATTCTTCAATTTCTTTCTACTCCAAAATTCTGAATTTTAATAATTTTCTTGGGAGAAAATCATTGAAATTTATCTTCTATATATTAGAGAGGCAACATGACACCATTTTCATTTTCATAATTTCTTTTGTACAATGTCCCTCTGTTTAGTCCTTGGTTGACCTTATAGCTGCTGGAGGAGGAATTCTGGGACTTTGTTTTGGAGCTTCAATTCTATCAATTGTTGAACTGATTATTTTCTTCTCTAAAAAATGTTTAGGACATTTTAAATAAACTACCCTAGCCTAATATAATTGAAAAAATATGAAAATGTATTATTTATCTTTAAATTTTGATTTCTGGTTGGTAATATTGATGACTAATTGTAAAGAAATAACACTTGTAATTATCAATAAATGTTAATGTATTATGAAGAGCTTAGAGGTTTCATGGAGTTTTACTTCATAAATTCAGAGGTTGATAGGGTCCTTTAATACGAGAATTGGGACTTTTAGTTTAAATTCAACTTTCCTATTACATCAAGAGCTCAGAGGTTACATACGAAGAAGGTATATTTGATAATAATACAACTAGTTGTATCTATGTAATTTATTTAGTTTGTGATGTAAATATTGGTGTAATTTGTATACATTCCTTTGAAGAAATGTGAATATCTACATGAACAACAGTTTTTGTAGGCTGTTCAACATGTTTGCTGTACAAGAAAAAAAATATTTCAAAATATACTTTTTACACTCAATTTTTACAGCTAATCTGTATTTACCAAAAATTAAAAAGATCAATAGCAGCTTGAAAGTTGTCCACTCTCATATGTTTCTTGGCACACCCTGCATGTATTTTTCTCATTTTATCATAACATAAGTGCTCGTTTCCACACAAAAAGCAACATGTCACCTGATTTAATTTCAAACTAAATGTGAAATTATAAATCAAATTATTTGCACTAATATTGTGATCGTCATTAAAAAAATGTTGTCCTTATTTGGTTCGCCACACATAAAATGTATACATTTAATTAGAATCAAAAATTGTGTGGTTTTTTCAAATGTTTAAAAGGCAAGAAAATATCATTGTATTTTATATTATGATCAAAATATCAAACCAATTTATACTTCTCCTAATTTTTACTACTTTAAATTGGAGACCTAGGTAAGTTTTTCAATAAATTGCATTTACATTAAGGTATAATAAAACATTTTTGATAACAGCAAAGCTAATGTTACGCATACTTTGGCCCTAAAAATACTACTTGTCATATTTTTAAAATGGAGGACATCCAGCACAAATAGTTAACATTTTTAAACCTTTGGTTTAATTGACAAAATTAATTTCTTTAATTAATTTCTCTAATTTGTTTACCTATCAACAGATTTTCACGATTTCAAAAAATTTGAAAATATTTGATCTTTTGAATTCATACCCATGTTGATGTATTTTGAGAAAAAAAATATTTCACTTGCATAAGTGAATTATTTAACCTTACATAACATAAAAACTGGTTGTATTAGGTTCTTCATTATCACAAGTATTGGGGTTTACTGGTTGTATCGGTTCTTCATTATTACAAGTATTGGGGTTTACATTGTTAAAAATATTGGGATTACTACAATAGATTGTAAATATTCCAGTGGGATAAACAGTTTGGTAAGTTGAACATTAACAACTAATATTATATTTATATATATGAATATAACTATATCTGTTTTGAGAGTGCCCAATGAGCATGAAATAAAAATTGTATTAAAAAATGCAAATGGAGCCAGTGATTACTTCTATTTGTTATGGGTTCAATATTTTCACAATTGTTTAATATATGTCCAAAAACTTGATTTTTTTTAGTTTTTTTGTCTCTAATTTTTTACATAATCAACAGATTTTCATAATTTCAAAATTTCTGAATTCAAAAATGTTCGATTTTTTTGAATTAATATTTGATACCCATATAGAAGTATTTTGAGAATTAAATATTTCACTTGCATTGGTGAATTATTTAACCTTCCATTTCATAAAAGCCAGTTTCTGGTCAACAACTTCAATTTAAAAAAAAGTCTTCACTAAATTTTGTTTTAATATTCAAAACTAATCTTATATGCACATAAAAGGGAATGGAATGGTAAATATTGATCATCCTTAGTCTATTATGTAAATATCCCCTTGGATGAATTAGCCCATAAATTTTGATTTTTTATTGAAAAAAAAAATTGTATTTTCTAAAATTACTTTTTTATTTCTAGCCTGTTCTTGCTGAGTGCTGGTCCCAAAAATTGTAGTCTTAATCATCCTAACTTAAGATATCAAAAATGTTCACTGTAAATAGTACATTTTTAAACCTTAAAGAGATATATAAATATTACTAGAGCTATAGTAAAGGTACACTAAACAGTTGAAAAAAATAAAGATTTTTCCAGAGATGAAAAAGAAAGAAATTAATAGAAAAGATAAGGTGAGTATTAGATTCATCCTCTAGTCAAATAATAGTTATTAATAAAAAAAAACATGCATTGCCTTGGTTAAAATAGTATTAATCAATCAATTTAATAGACTGATCTATCCAGTAATGTTAAAAGCAAGGTCAGGGTTCACCTGTTTATAGGGTTTTCGAGAAACAGTAGATTCTCTTGCCTAACAGTTTTGCATTTTACATGAGATGACTTTATTGCACCAAATTTTGCATCATTTTCGCATCAATATGAAGCCAGTTTTGCACAAAATTGCGCATTCATTCAAAATAAAAAAATTTTCTTTTGAACAAACTTGTGCATGAATACAGAATTTTGCGCATGCATACAAAGTCAACAATTTTGCTCAAAATTCCATAATTAAATGTAATTTTTGTATAATATTGCCCATGAATAGGATATTAAGCAATATTTGTTGCATGACATATGATAAAGTGCACTAATATGAAAGATTTAAATATAGGACAGTAGGATGTGAATTAGGTACATCTTTAAGATAGGGATACATTTCTCTTGTTTGTCTTCTGTTACCCATTTCTGTCAGCTCAACCAAATTTTTTTAATTTTTGAGCAAGAAACCCTTTGAGTTATCAATTAGTGTGTAATGGCTGGTAATAAGCATTGGTCCATTGACCTAAAAACTTAGACGTGGGGCTCTCCAGGGGCACAGGTGGGTAAGCGTCTCTGATTGGTTTAACTCTGGATTCATTCATTTCCTGGAATTGTTTCTCAAAATTTAATTTAATAGGTCAAAATAACGAAATAGCTTGAAATAACAAAAGAGCAGAAAATAATGAAATACACAAAAACCAAGATTTTGCTCAGAATTTGTACAAAATAGCTTTAGCACATCAATGCAAAATTATATCCAAATTTATTGCAATTTTTAGTCAAACATAAGAAAATCTTTGCAAAATTATTGCACATTTTTAATGCACATAATTTCTATTGGAAATCCTATTAAAAGGACTGAAAGGGTAATTTCAAGTAATTCTTCATGAAAAGATGGCAATGCCTGATTTACTATGGTACCCATGAACCCATAACAAGAAAATAAAAATGTGGAAGTTACCCTAGTTTTTCTGACTCTAAAAGTTTTCATTTATGTGAGTTTCTCCATTGCTACATAAATGTGCAAGTCACTTTCACAGATAACCCACAATTGAAAATAAACAGTATAAAGGAACAAAAACATTATACCTAATTCTTACTTGATCAGACAAAGCTTTCAAGGGTACCATAGTAAATCAGACATTGCCATCTTAGCATTGAGGGTCACTTTAAATTACACTTACAAGTTACAGTGTCCCTTAAAGTTAGAGTTTTAATTTGATAAAAATGCTTCAATTTTTAGTTCAGATCTCAAAACCAAAGGGATATTGGACTATTCTTACTTCGCGCTGTGGTATTTATAGGTAGCTCAATTCTAGCAGCTATTCTTGGGTCTCTCAGTATCAATGTTAGTAAAAGACAAGTATTTTAGTTTTTAAAAAGTTATGGAAACTCTAAAAAATGTCTAAATATTAAGGCATTCTTAGAAGAGCCTGGATACAATTCACAATCTAGGACAATTGCTATGAGATATAAAGGAACTGGACCAACATTAACCTTTAAGTTCTGTGATGAGGCCCCTTGGAATTTTACAAAAGTATAGTTTTTTTTAACAACTGTAGTACTTGATCTATACAGAAACACTTAAATGATCTTAAAATTTTACTTTTTTTGGCAGATGAAGATTCAATCGATCAACTTAAGCTTACTTGATAAGTCACAATTCAGTCCAAAATTCATGTTTTATAGGTTTAAAAATAACCTTTAAATGTTTCCACATCTTTTATTTTTGCTAGCCAAATTAATCCTTACAAAACTTACCAATTAAAGTAAGTTAATATCTTTTAGGCAAAACAAAATGGAATATCACCAGAACTTCTTTCTTACATAACATACATTTTACAACCTTATGATGATTTTATGGAAAATTTGCCTGAAGAACTGAAAACCCAGCTGAAGACTGATTATTATGAAAAACTTGCTGAACTGGATTATGACTTGACTAAACTATTAGATGCAGTCACTACTATTTGCGATGATTATTTTAGCCCAACATGGGGAGGTAAAATCATTTCAAAAACTTAAAACTTGGTTCCCTAAAGGGTGTTTGTTCCATTAACTGTTTATGTTTGTTTGTTGAAGAACCAGAAAATAATTATATTTTGTTGCTTATTAAAATATTCTGTTAATTTTCAAAAATTTCATTAATAAACCATTTTTCCAGTTTTTGTTCTTAATTTTTAAATATCCCGGAACTTTCATGTTCTATTTCTTTCAAGGAAGTGATGGCATAAATTGCAGTAAGACCTTTACTGAGCCCCACTATGGTATTGGTGGAAAATGTTTTCCTACAACTGCAAACTCATTTTCTGCAATTTGGGATGTGTTTTTTAAAATTAAGGTGCCAAAGTCCAGATATCAATCTATCAATGCCAGGTGAAAAGTAGATTTTAATTTCATGGCTTTCCTCTTTATACCTCATATATTTTTTAGCATTGCTGCAGAAGGGGCAGTTATGTACAATGGAATTTTAATTCATGTGTTTGATTCAAACAACAATCATAATGTGTTGAACTATGAAGATCTAGTTGAATTGTCATTAAGTTATTATAGTATAGCAATGATAGAGAAAAAATCCATTGACAGGTAGGTCCATTTATTAAATTTATAACAACTTGTATGATTTATAGATAATTTTTTAAAATTTTGATCAGGACACACCAGCATCGTGTGATCGACACAATACAATGTGATCCAAGCTCCACCCAAAGATTTGAGGATTGTCTTAGGAAAACAAGATATTTACTGTAAAAGCATAAGTAGTTTAGGGATAATTTTTTTTCGATTGATGTTTTGAAAATTTCTAGGGTGTTAATAATATTTTTTGATTTTGGGGGGTGGTCTTACATTATTTGTGGCAGGAGTAATTTAAGGTAATCCAACTATTATGAAATTCTAAACATGACAATGAGGTGAAAGACATTTAAATCAGTTATATACCTATAAATCAACATGTGTCTGAGACATTCATAGAACTTTCAACCAGCAAGGTTATTCAAAATTAACCAGAACAAAATCAGAAGTATAAACTAGAAGATCCAGTAAACTTGGTATTAAATCCCCTAAAGACCCAATAGATAAATTTTCAAACACCTGCCTTCATGCACCTATCAAAATATGTTCCATAAAATTCAGAGTGGATATCCAAAAATATATGGTTGAAACATACAACTGCTCTTCTCTGCTATATGGTGAACCTCTGTCAGGCTCAAGATACTGCGACCCTGAAGACAGTTCCATGATGCCAGAAAGCTTTTGGCATTTAAAATCATTTGTGTAAGATCATCCTATTTAAATAATGAATAATTCAACAAGTTCTAAGATAAATGTTCTTCATATTTGTTGTTTAATTAGAAAAACTTTTTTCATCCAGAGTATTATTTAAATAAGTTAAAAATCTATACCCAAGCAAAAAAGCAATTGTGCCAACAATTTGTGTGGCCATTCCACTTCATGAAATTTTTAAGAGTTATTCTCTAGATGTTTGTTTTCTTGAAGGAATAGAAAAATACAAAACTATTAAGGATTTATAACCTGATGCTACCATTTTAAAACAAACATTGAATTTAAATTTCAGAAAAACCACTTCTAATTGTATGCTGGATTGTGTGACAAACACTTACAAGCTGGAGGTGCAGAAGACTGGAATTTCTGTGGATGATGATCTTGATCATCATGTTGCTATGGCATATTTAGCATACAAGACACTAACAGAGACTCAAACAGCCCTTGAAGGAAAGGTTAGTGCCTTATATCTACTTTTTTTATCAATTAAGAACAAATCAGGGCTTTGAACTAATAGATCCCTTGCTTTCCAGATAAAACAAACTGGCGTCTAAATTTGTTCACTTTTAGCTCGAGTACATCTTCTGTGACACAAATAGAACATGGATGAGTGTAATTCCGTGTCATAATATTCCATTAATTGTACTTTTTCTACTTCCCTAGTTCAAATTGATCTCAGCAGAACTGAGAGCCGTAGCTACTTTAACTACCTCTGTCTTGTTTACTAATTAAACTTTATCTATCTGCATCCAATAAACACCAGATCGGCTAATCCAATAAGGCCAAAATTGTTTGTGGCAACCTAAATGACCCTAGGGAAGATTTATAAATGCTTAAATAATTTTGCCTGGAAAAAATATCGATTTTCTTTATTTAGAAATTTCTTACAATGTTTACAAAAAAAATCCGCAAAGTTTTGAGTTTTACAATAACTAAGAAAAATTATCCTCTTGAAAAATTTAAATGCAAACAATTGTTGCTAGAATAGCAGTGCTAAGTACCATGAAAGTCTAGTAATTAAAAAGATTGTTATTAAGTAGGAAAATAAATACAATACGTATTTGTATCATTAAGAGTATTCATTTTATAAGAAAAATGTCTGTTAAGTCTTTGGTTGATGTTGTGGCAGCTGTAGGCGGAATACTTAGTCTTTGTTTTGGAGCTTCTATTGTTTCCATTGTTGAGCTAATTATTCTCTTCTCAGCAAAATGTTGGAGATATTTTGATTAATACAAAATATGAAGAAAACAGAATAATAAATATTTTACAAAACATCAGTATTTCATTTTTTTAATACAAAATCTTTTCTTCATCATCGTGATTTTTAAGCTTTCGATATTATCATTAAAGAATACTACATTGTGTAAATATGATATATTACATGAAAGCAAAACTTATGCATTTGAAATCTAATAAGAAAAAAGAGTCACTGTGAACAATTGAAAAATTACTTTTTTCAGAAATTCTAATTTCTCAGACAACTTTTGTAGGATGCTGAAACTATATCTTGGGCTTGCAATTGCACTTTTATTTTAAACATCATTACTTTTCTTATTTTACATGTTTTAAAATTTGAAGGGGGGGGGGGGGGTGAGGGGCTGACTCTTACCTACTGTCTCCAAACTCTGAGCACACTTCATAATTGTTAATGCTGACGTAGCACTCCTGAACAGTAGAGTTTAGAACACAAAGTTTTCCCAAATAATTATTACTCCATCATTGATATTTAAAAAAAAGACTGCACCCTTAAAAAAACTGTTGGTGTGTTCTGCAGTAATCTGCAGTAGTCTGACTGAAAATATGGTAGCGTTTAGTGGAGACTGGAGATTGACTGAAATCAGTTCAAGGAGTGATAACTTAACAAACAAACAAGCAATCAACCAAGTCAGTCAGCCAACCTCCATAAATACGATGAGTAATGTACACATTGCTGATAATGAACCATCAGGTTTCAAGTCAAAACACCTTTTACTTTTCGTCAGAATATGTTGATATACGGTCTTCTAAGTTATAATCTCAATTTTCAGAAAATGCCTCGAAGGGAATTTTCCGCAAATTCATTTTTAAGATATTTCAGGTGCATTTACAAGTCTAAAATCAAACGTAAAGGAATTGAGTTTTTGTCACAAAATCTGATTTTCTTATCCCTATATCTTTGCATTTCAATGTCAGAGACCTTGGATATTTCAAACTATGAATTATTTTAGATCAGATAATAATAGTTTGAAATATCAAAGGTTAACACCATCAGGTTGCAAAGATATAGCGATTTAGAAATCAGAATTTGTGGCAAAAACTCAGTTCCTTTCATTTAAAGACTTTAATATGCTTTTTCTATTTTTTTGCAATATTTTTTGAACTGTTGATGGCAGGGTCCCCAAACTTTGTAACTTTTCATGAAGAGTCTTATTGTAATAAAAAATCAAAGCCCTAAGTCAACTGCCTGACTGACTAGATACAGCCTGATAATGCACTTGATTTCTACATTATCTTAAAAATGGATTTACTCAAAATTAATTACCTAGAGGGCATTTCTTGAAAATTGAGATTTTAATATAGTAGACTTCATATTAATATATTCCAAAGAAAAAGTTAAGGTGTTTTGAATTGAAACCTGATGGTTGGATGTGTGTATAATATGGTTACAAAGTCTAGAAATTGAAGCTACCATCTTTTTTACCTACTCAACCATCTATTTAAGGACTGAAGAGTTACATACCGATCTCATACCATTACCATTTAAAACTTTATCTGATAACCTTTTAGGAAGGTTGCTTCTCTATTTTAAAAAAACAAGATACATTCTGTCTATTTCATGAAAAATGATTTATGTTTAGGATAATTATTTTCCAGTTTACAACACAAACCTGAAATCAAAATAATCCAAAAAAAATATCTTGCTCACCTTAGCACCACGGTACTGCCATCCAACCGTCATCTTACAAAACCCTGCAGATCGTTGAAGTATGTTACAAGGATTCTCGTCAGGCATATACGCTACGATCAGAATATCTAGAGAATCTATTGAACTAGGCCTATATGGTGCTACGCGACCCTTTTCAAGAAATAATATTATCTTTTAATGGTTACTTTTCATTTTTTTTTCATTTAACACAAACTTACGCGGATTTTCTATTATGGCTGTCAACAAACATGCCCTGAGGCCGAATCTAAAGAATTTGAGCCGCGGTTCAAATATGGTTGGTTCCACTTAAAATTGTATTCAATATTTCAAGATTTACGCCGGCGCTCAATTGAAACAGGTTTTTGGCGGATTTGAGACGAGGCTGAAATTCATTAAATTTGGGCTATGTGCTGTCATGAAAGTGGGCCCAATAAGTTTAAATTAATTTACATGTTTACGTTGATTGGATACAAACGTATTTATATATAGAGATTCTAAGAAATATAAAAAGAAATTTTAGAAAATTAGAAAATATGCATAATAGTGTGACATACCTAAAGTAACAAGCAGAAAGTCGTGTAAAGGGTAATCATAGTTCATTCTCAGCTCTAGTCGAACACTTTTCTATAAATAAAAAAGTGTTTTCCCATTTTTTTAATGCAAGGTTCCAGTAACATGATATTTCAGGGGACACTAGTTCCAAAGCTAACACTTGGCCCATTTCTAACACTGAATGTTAGAAATGGGCACAAATCGAAAGACTTGGTTTTTGGATCCTAGCCCGTTTCCAGAGTAAAAGTCGATAATAAAAACTAAAACCCATATTTTATTTAAAACTAGCTGAAGGGCCCGGCGTTCCCCGTGGATACATCTCTTTTTAATTTTAAAAATTTTGAAAAAATAAAATTCGAATTTCTTAGCCTATGTCACCCTCAGGCTACACATAAGTGTCTCCAAACAATGTCAGCCCATTCGGTCCAGCTGTTAGGCCGGCCAAAGGGAACATATATACGAATGTCTTGTTTTATATTAAACATGACGAGGACAACAGCTCACAATCTTTAATTATTTTTTATATCAAAATTATGATAGGAGTTATCGTATTAAAACAAACTTTCCGTTTTTGAGTATAATCCGCAATTCAAAACAACTTTCATAACTTACAAAATAAATCACTGAACAAAAAATTATATTATAAAGACTAAATTAACTGCTGAATTATTTCTAGAATCTGATTTTCCTCATTTAATCTGTTAAGTGTTAAATAAGAGAATATATCTAGATGCTTTATTTTTAATCATTTCAAACAAACAGTTTCCCGCATTTCTAGTGAAATCTATATTGTAAGAACAAAATTATATAAATATTTTGATTTCTCAATGCCGTAATGATTTTTAAATTATAATTTTCTACTTTGTTTATATTTTACTTTTTCAAAAAATCTTGTTCTGTTATGTAAGTGTGTAAATGCTTTGTAAGTGCGTAAATGCTTGAAAATTGACATTAATATGTTTTCGGGTAATTGCCTCAAAGCCAGGATATGTTCCAAATGTTTCCAATATGTACGAAAATTAAATCAAGTATCATCAAAAACTAACTCTCGCATCTTATCAATTAAAAATTGACATTGTTTCAATATACAGTTTTTGCCATTTTTAATAAATATAGGTATAATTTTGTTCTACCTGGTTTGGATTTAAAGATATATACCCTTTGAAAAGATAACTTTGCAGATTTGGCCCATTTCTAACACTCATTGTTAAAACTGGACCAAGTGTTGGTTTTGGAACTAATATCCCCTGTAATTTAACTGTTGGCTTTAAAATGATTTATCGTGATTTGTTTATTTCTCTCCTACAGTGGATCAAAAAAAAGAATTTGATTTATTTTGCTGCTCCTTCGTAATTTTGCCATAAGGAAGCAACCGAGGGGTTTCTTTTACTCTATGGAGTATGGAGGAACCATTAGAAAATAAAAATTGTATTTTTATAGGAGCTCCTCATCTCTTAAATTTTGAACTTAAAAAATATATTTAGTATTGAACGCTGAATTCCCTGATAGTTGGGCATTCTAAATGATCTTTGAACTTCTCCTTCTTCTTCTGGTTTACTGGAAAGATCATCTGAATTCCCTTGGTTTCTATTTATTCTTATCCTAAGATCTCCATCTTCTAATCTTACACTTCGGACACAATTCTCTCTTAAACAGAAAATGTAAATAAAACGTTCAGCTACAGGATGTCCCGCCAAACATGACAATTGGGGTGATTTGATCATTTAAGAAGTACAATTTTTGAATTACTAATCACAAAATACCTCTGGTCCGGGCTTAATGTGGCCTGCCTTTCTTTCTTAACAAAAATTTCAGAGATATAAAGATTTTAGTTCAGATTTCGACAATTTTGGATTTATTTAATTAACTGAAATTAGAACAAAATTCTTAATATCTCCGGTAGTATTCAAAGAACAAAACATCCACACTACATTATAGAAATTTTGGGATTATTGTTTCAAGAAATATAAATTCAAAACTAAATTGACAAATCAATGTCGCAAACGATTTCAAAGATTATGCATCGACCTTCAAGTCATCTATCGACTGTCATGTTTCGTGGTACATCCTGTATTTTCTATTTCATAGGGGTTTATGGGATGTTTTCCGTTTATCAGGACTTATGCGATGAAAATTTATCTTTAAAATTATTTTAACTTTCAAAGAATATCTTCCAAACATTACTTAGTTTAATAAACTTTATCTGTCCCCAAAACAGTCAAAAATAAATTCAATGGCTTGTTTTTTTTCCTTCTGATCATAATATTGTTGAATAATGACGTAATAATCAAATTAGCTGATAAAATACAGTCCAAGGATAGTAAGTTAACCTTTATTTTAACTTCTCTGACCTTTTACTTAATTTTTAATATTCTTTTTTATCCAACAAATTTGTGTTTAATAGATCTTCTTTACGGTTGCACATTTCCAGATGATTTTTAATATCGTAAGAACAAAACTAAGAACTTGACAAAATGAATGAATAATGACTTGAATCTAACCTGTTATTGGCTGGTGGAAGGATAAACCCTGGGATCTCTTTTATTTCTAAATTAAAAGGTTTCCATCAACTAAATTTTTTGGGGAAAATAACAATATATGTTTAAGGTTTTTAGTAATTATTAATTACTGAAATGGTAGATATGTTAGGTAATACAAAGATTAAATTGTCTTTTAAATATTTTTTGTTAAACATTTAGGTAAAATTTTTAAAACAAATTCAAAATTAATAATTAAAATAATTACGATCTAATAATACAAACAATATTACTAAAAGTCTTGAAGCTAATTATTTTCTTAAAAATCAACAAGTACCTTTTTTTGTAATATTTATTAGATGCTCCACATTTTTATTTTTATTGTGTTTGTAAAATATATTTTTAACAGTGTGCGTTCATTATGCAATTTGGTAGCAGGTTAAAAACATTTCAGTGAAAATTTTAGATTAATTTTTTTTCACCACAAAAACAAATAAAAAGGTAAATCAAATCACCCTGGAATAGCCGTGATTGGTTTAAATTTGAATTAAAAAACAAGCTCCAAGGAAGAGTTTACATAGTCTTTTACTTTCAAATTCATAAGTTTTATGTAGAAACTGATTCAACAAACGATTTGTTGGTATAATAAGCTAGAATTTATTTATTAAAAGATTTCAACAGCAGCCGGTGACAAAAAAACTTTAACATCAAACTTTACATCTTTTTGACTTTATCAACAACACCCATTTTGCTGTTAATATCAATAACTTTCATTCAAGGGACTGTTTACGTGATTTTAAGTGACCCAACATTAAAAAAGTGGTATGTCCGATGGATACCCTTTAAAATTCTATCCGAACAATAATACAAGATATCATCGTTTTTTCATCTTAAAGCTTGGTAAATTCTAAAATTGACTTTTAATATCTCTGTTCTCTATAGAAACAATACGTGTAGGTAAGTAAATATGTAGATTGTAGGCTAGTACAAACATATATAAATAGAATATAAATACACGGTCATAAACTCTAATTGGATTATTGGATATTGGAGTTTTATCAATAAAATTAGTTAAGCATTATCATATTTTTATCGACAACTGTTAAATATTAGATAGGGTTTAAGGGAAACATTAACTAAATATAATTTTCAAATTTATTACGCCACCGACCGCAATTTCGGTAACTTTACATTCAACAACAAAATAGAAACCTGAGTTGGAGTCTGAAGCCGCGACAAAATTTGCATATTTTGTTCTTTTTGATAAATATTCTCCCTCCCCTTCTCCACTTCGTTTCAGTGAAGTATTTTCTCCTTCCTCCCCTGTATTCTTAAAAGATGGATTCGTCCGGTTTATCTTGGAGTTTGCAGCGGCCGACCCTGCAGTATAACATGAATAATAACAATAACAATAACAATGACCTCGAAAACAGCAATAAAAATAACACCTACCAATCAACTCATGTGAGTATATATTCTATGCAGTGTTCATTTTGAAACATAATGGGTCTCTTTAGGGTAAAACAAACCAGAGACTAGAATTTTAATAATTTGAAAAAATTAGTCTCAAGTCTTAGCTATATCATTGAGACTTGAATAAGAATTATATCCCGGAGGCTCGAGCCTTATTTCAAACCAGGTAATTACAATACAATCTTTCTAAAACAAACTCACCCAAAATGGAATATTTTTTTTCAATGCATCCCAATAAAGTGGAAAACGGACGATAATATTAAGATTGATGAGTTTAAAAATGATGAATTCCAGAATTAATCTCAATTCTTGCCACTTGGTAAGAGGACCTAAGATTGAGCATTAGACCCGAAACTAGAGGGTAATTTTAAACTTGAAACTGAGATAAACGATGCACTAAATTTGGGAAATGTCGGGCAGATTTCTCCATTCATCATCAAATAAAATATGTTACCAGAGCTGAGAGCTTTAGAATTGTGGATATTGAGATCAATTCATGATTTCCTCTTTTTATTAATTTCAAGATTAATTTAATTTTCAGTTTGCATCCTGAACACTGTATAGTGTGTGTATATAACTCAACCAATCGAGTAGCGTTTGGAGTAACCGGAACAGCCAATCAGAAAGGCCGTTGAAACTTTTTATAAATACAACACTTCATCAATAGATAGATAGCTACTATAATTCAACAATATTAAAATCTAAAAAGAAAACTAACCTGAAACAAATGTTCTTTGTAACCTTCCTCTCCTGTTCTCTCGGAACTCCTCCACTACCCCCACTGATAATTCTCTTATCTAAAACTTAGAAAAAACTATAATATTATATTCATGATCATAGAGCGGTTTTATAAGAGCCAATAATTGGTTGCGCAGTTGGAGGCTAAATATTCCATTAAAATCATAAATTTTATTTTGTCCAGAGGGGTGGGGGGCACAGCCTCCATTGCCCCTGATGACTGGGACACTGGGCTAAATATTTACTTTAAACCATTTCCAATTGTATACTAGTTTAAAGAGTGTGTTCGCGAAAAATAAAGGGGATGTAAATGATATCAAATTCAATTCGAAATTGATCGCTACTAATTTTACTTCTATCTGTTGTGTAAGGAGAAGAAAGCGTCTTATACACAAAACTATTTCATTCAATTCGACGTCAAACTATAACCCCCCTTTAATTTTTCGCCCACACTCCCTTTAAGCTTAACTTTTTTAATTTTTTTAAATCGTTTGATTTTAAATAAATAAATGTTGAAATCCTGTAAATAATACTGACCAGCACCATAGTATCATGAGGGTAGGTACACCCCATAAACTCAATATTTCCTAGAGTTTGAGCCAGGCAGACTACTTCCTGCTCAGAATATCTAAAATAACTGAGTGTTATGTTTAATCTCAGAATATGTAGAATAACAGAGTGTCAAGTTTTATATTAGAAAATGTAGAATAACAGGATGTTAAGTCTATCCTAAAATAATGAAAATAAGTTTTGACTCGACCCTCAGATTATGTAGAAATACAGAACATTGAGTCTTTCCTCAAAATATATAGAATAACTGAGTTTTGACTCCAATCTCAGAATATGTAGAATAGCAGTGTTGAGACATTCCTCAAATCATGTAAAATAACTGAGTTTTAAGTTCATTCTCAGAATATGTAGAATAACTGAGCTTTGACCTCTCTCTCAGAATATGTAGAATAACAGTGTTAAGACTATCTTCAAATTATGTAGAATAGCGGACTATTGTGTCTACCCCATTTACAAGAGCATTAAGTCTATCCTTAGATAATGTAGAATAACAGCCTATACCTCAAATGAGGGTATAGTCTTTAGCTTAGACTATGCAGAATAACAGAGTATTAGTCTATTCGTCATAAAAGAGTAATGTTTCAATCTTAGAATGTGTATTATGACTATCCTCAGAATATGTAGAATAACAGAGTTTTAAGTCTAATTCTATCAATCAACGAGCACTGAATCTATGACTTAGAATGTGTAGAATAGCAGAGTATTAAGTCTATACATCATAAAAGCAGTGCTAAGGATCCATTTAATTTTGATGCGGATCGTAATTTAAGAGCCATAAACGATCCAATATGTGTGGGACACCCTGTATAAAAAATCGTCCAACACTTTCACAAAAACGGCTTTTTAAGTCACAAAAAGATTTGCGACCTCTTAGTAATTTTTCAACCGCGGGGGTTTAACACGACATTCCAAATTTGTTTACATCTCTACAAATATTATTAAGATTTAATAGATTGGCATAGTAAATATATTTATGATATACTAATGGTACATGTACATTATGTAATTATAATATATTGTATATTTTCTTCACGTATATGTACATGATACATTTATCATGTACATTTACAATGTACATATACGTGAAGAAAATATCCAATACTATAATTAGATGCCAGAAATCCATCCTATTTGAACAATGAACAATGACACTGCTTACTGGTGTTTAATGGACTCCATAAATGCTTTTTTGAGCTCCCAATGATGAGTAGGTTCATGAGAACTCCGGTACTTATCAACATTCCAGTCAGCCGACATTCTAAATCTGAAATATAACATTTCCTGACATTTTCAATCAACGTTTATTCTTTTTACATGTTTTATGTAGATTTATACAATTACACTTTACAGAGATATCATAACAATGTGATTTGTACTTATATAGAGATAACATAGTTACAGTAGAAGAACATAACTTTCAGATTTTTTTCTGAGAAAAATTAAAATACTGGTGCTTTACCCCGTAAGTTTAAAGCATTAAAAAAATTAGGGGGGGGGGGGGGGGAAATAATGTTTTGAAAGAAAGTGTTTCAACTACTGCAACCTTACTAAGAAAACTAAAATGTATATTCTAATTAATTCAATTTCTGTATTTATTTTATGAAGCAGTAAAAACACCACTGAAAACAATTAAAAATTTTTTTAAAAATATTAAAAGATGTCTTCATCGTAGGCAATCATTTCTCTCTTGTCCTGAAATACGAATTTAAGTTAAAACAAAACACAAATATTAAAACTATACAGTGAACCCCTTAATAACGAATACATCGGAAGAATTTATAGAATGTCGACTTGACAATTTTTCATTGAGTTTTATACTATATTTCGTAAATTTCAGTAATTGCGAAAATAAATAAATAGCCATGAATATGCGGGAACAGTTTTAAAAAGTTGCATATAATCATTTAGTTAAAAAACTAAATATATGTAGCATTCCATTATCAGAAAGTGAAGAATACAATATTTGATGAATTCTTTCGATGTATTCGTTATTAAGGGTTTCACTGTAGAATATGAAGAATAACAGAGTATCAAGTCTATCCTATATTTATTTCACCCAATTAAGCGAATTAAACCTAAGGGGGAAATACTATTGTCTTTTTTATGAAGTTTTACCTTGTGGGATCCTTTTTGAGAATGACTTGCGGCAATAGTGGACCACGTGGTGCTACTGCTGGAATCGTTGATTGGGTCAATGATGGGTTGGCGGCGAGCAAGAGAAACCTGAAATCACAAACTCTGGTAAGTTTCTTTATTTCTTGTAATTCTAAAACAATAAGAGGATTAAGAGGATTGTATCTGTAAAAGAAGCCCCAGCTTGTAAAGTTTAAAAAGTGTAAACTAGGTTTGATAGTTCTAGTGTTGTATTTGCTTCAGTGCTTAGAATCTTTATTAAAAAAAAAACATCTTTTTCCTCTAAAACCCAAATCTGAACTGTTAAAAAAAGAGAAAAAAAATTCCTTCATTTCTCAATGTCGTATCAAGTTTAAGTATAAAAATAATCGAAAATAAGAAGAAAAATAATTTCAGAATTCTTTTGTTATAGAATTCAGTAAATCGTAAAGAAATGTTCATGACCTGGATCCTGATCTAGTATACGGATCAAAATTAAATGAATCCTAAGCACTGATTTGCTTGAACTGGTTTAAACTTAAAAGCAAAATAAAGCTGGTGCTTTAAATCCAAAATATCAGCGCTATCACTGAAGGATTAGTTCGATAAAATTCGAAAATGGGTATATACAAAGTTTTTTTTTAACACGAGTAGAAAACCTATACTCTTAAAGAACTCAACAATGAACAAAATGAAATGGAATGTGTAAAGGACCCAATCAACAATGAACAAAATGAAATGGAATCTGTAAAGGATCCTATCAACAATGAACAAAATGAAATGGAATCTGTAAAGGATCCTATCAACAATGAACAAAATGAAATTGAATCTGTAAAGGATCCTATCAACAATGAACAAAATGAAATGGAATCTGTAAAGGACCCTATGAACAATGAACAAAATGATCTACCTTGAGTTGAACTCCATTGACCAAACTCCCATTGATTTCTGCAATAGCTCGCTCCGCACTTTCAACCTTAATATTATGATATTTATCTATTTCAGATTATAAAATAAATAGTTGGTTGATTTAAAAATTAAATTATGAATTTTAGATCAACAATATTTTCATTATTATTTTGTTAAACTTACAATACCCTATTTTCATTGCATTAAAACCTGCTGGCCATTGTTATTTGTCTGTAGGTTAAATGTTAATAATGATCATAATAATAATAGTAAAGAAAAGGACAAGGACAAGGACAACAACAATAATAAACGGTGAACAATTACCATTGCAGTTGTCTTTTTAGTAATATTGTTCTCAAAAATGTGAACTTGTATAACCCGTTAAAAAAAAGAATATTTTAAATTCCTGGTAAACGGAAAATACAAAAAAAAAACCTTGTCATATGTGATGAATCCACAATTCTTCTCAACCTCCATAGATATAGAGACAATAGGACCGTAGGGTGTAAACTGAGTTCTTAATATCTCCTCCGTAACCCCATATCCGTAGATATATACAGTATGTCCTTAACAGAACAAACCAAGGATCAAACATCATTTTCAAGATTTTACAAACGCTCATCAGTCGCCGACTGCATGTTTATTGTTTAATGTTTATGCATCAACACCCTTTAATGAAACCATAACTTATTTTCACAAGAGTCAACTAATATCATATTCAATTATAAGGCGTGATATATAGCTGCTTTAAATCACTTTTCTTTCAAAGCCAATCAATTTTTAAGGTTTTAGCCCCAAAAGTGTGGGAATATGATATTCTTATGAGGATAAAATGTACTAATGGAATTCTTAAACTCGATGAAATAATCTTGATGCATTCTTTAACTCAGGCCTGCGGCCTTCCTACTTGTGAGGTTCCATGACCAAGTTCCCGATATAGAAAGTTTTTCTCCTGAACCATGTAATAATGGAAATTCTTACACGATATGTTTATTACCATGGAACCGAACAGATATGATACAATACGCAATATATATAAATTGTAACCAATGATGATCTAACCTTGTCTCAGCTTCCCTCCCTTGTCCTCTGTGAGTCCCCTCTCCTCCCTGTCCCTCTCCTTCACGAAGTTCTCGTACAGGTTCTTCTGTTTACTCTTCTTCTGCTCATCAGTGATTTCAGGTTCAAAATCCTCTCCACCTTAACATAGGATTATACTTTAATGATCATCACCTTAACATAGGATTAAACTTTAATCCTCTCCAATTTGACATAGGATTAAACTTTAATACTCTAAATCATAACATAGGATTAAACTTTAATACTCTAAATCATAACATAGGATTACATAGGATTAAACTTTAATACTCTAAATCATAACATAGGATTAAACTTTAATACTCTAAATCATAACATAGGATTCAACTTTAAACCTTTTCATCTTAAAATAGGATTAAACTTTAATCCTTTCCACCTTAACATAGGATTAAACTTTAATCCTCTCCACCTTAACATAGGATTTAACTTTAATCCTCTAAATCTTAGCATAGGATTAAATTTTAATCCCCTCCACCTTAAAATTGGATTAAACTTTAATCCTCTCCACCTTAACATAGGATTAAACTTTAATCCTCTAAACCTTTAAATACGATTGCATTTAAATCCTCTAAACCTTAAAATAGGATCAAACTTCAATCCTGTTCACCTAAACATAGGATTAAATATTAATACTCTGTACCTTAACAAAGAATAACACTTCAATCCTCTAACCCTGAACATGGGGTTAACATTTAAATCTCTTCACCTAAAAATAATATTAACCACTTCTCTTAAACTACACATCTGAACAAAGCTTCTGTTAATTATGGATTATGCTTTTAAGTAGATAATAAAAGCGTTAAAGCAACGCTTAATAACAATATTAACAACTATTATCATTAATGCATACGAAGTCTGATTAAAAAGCGTTCGACTGTACAGTGTACAGTGTACAATGTACAGTGCACAGTGCACATACTTAACTTTTTTGTTTTGCCTTTTCCAACAGTTTATTTTTTGTCAGAGTAAAAAGTAATGAAAGTGACGATGTAGAAAGGTAAATTTGAAGAGAAACTTCTTGCCAAGTTGATGATCGGTCAAGAACCCTGATTTACCTGTGTCAAACCCTCCTCCAGGTCCATGTGTAGCACTAAAAGGCTGATAACTACTCATTGCTCTATCCTGATTATGCTTTCTTTCAAATCCTAGAATAAAAATATTGAAAAATTTTAAATGTTATTTTTTTTTATTCTTAATGCCGATTTTTGATTTTTGAATCTGTAAAACTTGGAATCAAATAAATTTTGACAAAGGGGATGGTGGAGTTGGCACATTTTATGTGGGGGGGGGGCCCTGCCTTCATTTTTGGTTCAAATCTTCCAATTTTTTGGGTGCACGCCTAATTAGTGATCGAAATTCCTAAAATAAAATAAAATTGAATTTTAATGACCTCTAATGACCTCTAATGACCTCTAA